TCCGTCGACTAGCGATTTTATTCTCCTGGAGAGTTGAGTGCGCGGCTTTTGACTTGTGTCGGATTAGCACATTAGGCTAGCGAGAAGCAAAGTTCCTACCCTAAGTCGCGCGCATGTCCCCAACTATGTCAACAGTCTAGACGTACACAAATAACCAGCGTTCCGTGTGTTAAAGGCTAAAACGTTTCGCCCACTTAGTCGGGGTGCATATCACGCAGAAATGCCATGACTTGTAGGAACTCGTAAAACACGCCCGTCGAGTGTATCACTTTACGAGTGGGTAGCTTTTTCGGGCTGGCCGCCTTGCTAGCCCCCCCCCCCCCCCCCCCTGGCTGACCTGACCTAGGCCCACTCTAACCCTAACCCTATTAAGAAGGAGGGAACGTCAGGTGAGGTATAATTAATTCTTCTAAAATTTATAGATACAAGTTAGGGTTTGTAGTTAGGGTTAGTGGTTAGGGTCAGTAGTTAGTTTAGTGTATGGTATACATTTATTCTTTTAGTGATAGACAGAAGGGAGTAAGGGTTAGGGTTATGGATTGATCATGGATTAATATAGGATTAATCTATATTTTTGGGTGGGCCTAGGTCAGGTCAGCCAGGGGGGGGGGGGTACGTCAGGTGAGATGTACGGAGTATACCGATCAGCAACCCACCAAGCCCGTTGCAGGGGTTCCCATCCTGAGGTGGCACGGTGGCCTCTTGTACTATGGGCGTCTACGGATACTCTTTGTAGAGTCACCGGAAAGTCCCTTATTGAGTGTTCGTCCCGAGTCCACATTGAGTGTTCATCCCGAGTGCGTACTAGGCGCTGAAAGACTCACCGGCAGCAATTTATCGGAGCGTCTCTCACCCGCCGCTGCCGTTGCTTCTTTGACATGCATGTACCTGGATCATGTACGTTTGCCCGGCCATCGATGTGACCTACGGACAGGGATGATGTTGCCCCTTTCCTGAACCTGAAGCCAGCTCAAGTGGGGGGTGGTACGGTAAGGATCCCACCTTTTCCTCTTTCTGTCGATTCTTTGTTGTCTGACTTCCATATCAAGACTCGCTACCGTGATACGAAGACCGACCCCGACCAAAAAGAGTACAGATATTGGTGGGTGGAGGCCCCAGCTTATGTCCATAGCAACTAGATGCGCGCGCGTATTCATCTACGCCGTGGGAGTTCCAGTCCATTAGAGCTCGTCCTATATTGAGTATTGAGCATGGTACTCTCGCTGTATTTCCGTATAGTTGATGTTGTTGACCTACCTGAACGACCCCTACGGGGACCGACCGCCGTGTGTGAGCACCTCAGCTCCAATTCATTGCTCTGTAGTAATCTCGGCAAGTAGGTACGGATGCTTGCAAGCAATAAGCAAGCAGACTTCGGGCCGCCTGCATAGACTCACATGATGCATCAAGAGCGGTGCAACAGTCGCTCTAATACAACAAGCAGGTGCAACTCGGTGCTGGCGAGAGATTGGTTTATCGTGTCATTGTGCCATTGTCAGTGGGGAGACCTGCGGAAGCGGAGCACCGGTATAAGGGTCTCCCCCGTTCGGACGGTGATGCTCAGGACCAGAGAGTCATCCATCCCTTCAAGTGAGCGAGCGTACGGGTACGAGGCAGGCTTCGGTGCTTACCGGTAGATGGTCATAGAAACGGCCGAGCCGCCAAACATTCCCCCAATCAGAAAATTTGCAACCTGTCAACACGGGACGCAGGGGGGCCCAGGCTGGAGTCTGGACCTTTTCCTCCTGCGTTGCGATGGACTCGCCCTCTATCAGATGGGCCCTGACCCCGGCTCATCAGCGGCTTAATAGAGTCACATATATGATCCCTGTTCCGTTTACCCCTGAATTAGTTATTCATGTACAGGGTTGCATGCATACAGCAGGTAGCAAGAGATAGATTAACAATACAACCAGAGGTTAGTCCGGCACGACAACATGTGGGTTCCGTACCCCCCTGAGTGCGTCTCTCCCGGTGCTATATACGACGATGGGGCGAGGGCAGCGCTCGGTCTGGTTAGGCGAGGACCGGTTCGTCCCCATGGATGTTGATGCGGTTCCTCATAAGCGCTCCAGCTGCCATCATGGAGGCATGATCCCTCACCCTCTCTCTCTTTCTCTTCACGCTGTTGAGGTCATTCACTACTCTCGGCTTTGTCTGCATTTATTTGCTTTCCACCCACATTCGTTCTCCGTGCGTTGGTCTGTCGTTCGTCAGGCCTGAGGTAATACCAGCTTCGCGACAAGGAGCTCTCACCTTCGTTCTTTAGTGTGTTTCTGCCGCCAGCTCGACCGAATCAACTGTTTCATTCGTTTCATTGAAAAAGCCTCATTGTCACAACCGTCAACATGCGTTTCTCACCCGCCACTTTGGCCGGGCTGTTGGCTATCGCCGATCACGCCTCGGCCGACGGCCTACACGAGCTCGCCGTGAAGGCGGGTAAGAAGTATTTCGGTACCGCCACCGACAACCCGGAGCTCTCCGACTCGGCCTACACGGCCATTACCAAGGATTCGACCCTCTTTGGCCAGATCACGCCCGGTAACGGACAGAAGTGGGACTACGTCGAGGCCAACCAGGGCGTCTTCACGTACGGCTATGCCGATGTCGTGCCCGACTTCGCCGAGAAGAACGGCCAGATCCTGCGCTGCCACACGCTGCTCTACCGGGCCCAGACGCCTCAGTGGGTGACGAACACCAAGTGGACAAAGGCCCAGATGACGGCCGTCATCACGACGCACATCAACAACGTCGTGGGTCACTACAAGGGCCAGTGCTACTCGTGGGACGTGGTCAACGAGGCCATCGACGACTCGGGCAACTACCGCCAGGACACGGCCTTTTACAACGTCCTCGGCATCGACTACATCCCTCTGGCCTTCAACTTGACCCGCGCTGCCGACCCGGCCCCCAAGCTGTACTACAACGACTACAACATCGAGAACGTCAACGCGAAGCAGCAGAAGACGGTGGAGCTTGTCAAGTACGTGCAGCAGGCCGGCGCGCCCATTGACGGCGTCGGCATGCAGGGCCACTTCATCGTTGGCAGCATGCCGAGCCAGGCCGACCTCGAGAACGCCGCCAACCAGTACACCGCCCTCGGCGTCGAGGTCGCCTACACCGAGTTCGACATCAAGTTCACCAGCCTGCCGTACAACGCCGCCGGCCTCGAGTCCCAGGCCCAGTCCTACGTCAACGTCATCAAGGCCTGCCTCAACGTCGAGGGCTGCGTCGGCTGGACCATCTGGGACTGGACCGACAAGTACAGCTGGGTGCCCGGCACGTTCCCCGGCCAGGGCGGCGCTTGCCTCTGGGACGACAACTTCGAGCCCAAGCCCGCCTACTACTCTGTGTCCTCCGCCCTCGCCGCCGCCGCGACCGGTTCTCCCTCTTCTTCCTCCGCTGCCCTGCCGGCGACCACGTCTCCGGCTAGCAGCGCTGCCGTTTCTACTTCCGCCGCTGGCGCCGCCAACACCACCGCCCAGGCTGCCACCAGCGCAGCATCCGCTTCCAGCACCAATGCCGCGTCTGCTGTTCTCCCCTCCAGCCAGGCCTGGAACGGGACCGCTGTCATCCCTACTGTTACCGTTGTGCCCTCCGGTGGCGTCATCCCCACGCCTTTCCTCCCTCCCAACGCCACGGCTCTTTTCCCTAACAGCACCGTGACCTTCACCCGCCCTGCCCGTCCCGCCTCCAGCGTCGCTGGCGGTGCCTCCGCTGTCGTCCCCAGCGGCGCAGCTTCCAACGTCCCCGGTGGCGCCGCTTCTAGCGCTCCCGCCGGCGCCATCGGCGGCTCTGCGGGCGTTGAGCCCACGCAACCTGCCGGCGCGAACCCCACTACTCCTGTGGCCAACGGTGGCGGAAACGCCGCGAGCCCTACCCCTTCGGCCGGAGGTGGCCCCGACGCCGCCGTCACTCCGGCTCCCAGCTACACCACCACAACCATCTACGCGACCAGCATCTACACCGTCACCTCGTGCGCCGCCGACGTGCCTGACTGCCCCGCCAGGATCGGCAGCGTCACAACCGAGGTCGTCACCATCACCACGACCGTCCCCTGCACGCCGACGGCGCCCGCTGCCGGCGCCGGCGGCTTCGTACCCGGACACCATTTCGGCAACGGCACCATCCCGTCCGTCGGGCCCAAGCCGAGCACGTTGACCTCCGTGATGCTCGGCACGGCCGCGCAGCCCGCCGCGACGCCTTTGCGCGCGCCTTGCAAGCGCCGTCTTGCCAGGCGCCATGCCCTCGTCGCCACTGACGAGGCTTAAGAAACCCTCGTAGGGCCTTGTGGGCCAAGCACTGCGGCATGCGGAGTTTCAGCGAGGGAGTGATGTGAATGGGCTGTGTTTTGCGTGTTTCCCACCTAGCATCCATATTTCTTTACATAACTATCTAGTCCGTTTGACTGGTATATAATGAAATTATAATACCTTACCACCATGAACGTCCATTCATTCACGCTCTGTGTAAGAGGCAGGAGTTGTCTCACTACTAGTATGCATAAATTCCGTGAAGACACTTGATGACTTTCTTCCATGATCTGTTTTCGACCTAGGCCGTACCTTGATGAATATAGTCGCTCTGAATCCCCATAAACGCTCGAGTGCAGTTCGCCCGGTACATCTGTAATGTTGTAATATGTCAAAATCCGATGCTTATACATAAACTGTGACACCGTAGTTGTATAATAGAAGCTTGAGGCCAATCCTATGCACCCCAAAGTGGCGAACGCGTTACGGTCGTATGTCTATGACGGCGGTGTTTGCCTTTCGGAGGTACAGTTACTACATGGGCGGGGCAAGCTTGTTTACGAGCTCGCTGATTCATCGTCTATATCTATCACGTCAAGCTGCTATTGGCAATGCTTAGAATCGTCACGCCCATCTTACTTCAAAACCCCCTTGACATGTGCATTCTTGATGTTTAGGTAGGGATATACCCCACCACGCGGGTTCCAAACAAAAGAAGAAGAAAAAGACGGACCGTTTTCACCTTCTTTTGGTCATGGTAAACCCAAACGGGTTGATTGGAACCTGCGTGCCTATTCATCCCTCCATCATCACGTTAAGGTGTCTACACCGCATCGTCAAAAACTGCCTTGGCCAGATGCCGTTGGACGATTAATGGCGATCCGCGCGGTGAAGCCTCTTTTCAGATGGATGTAATCTCTCCAATACGGGGTGACCGTTGGACCGTGTCCGTCTCCCGTTTTTAGATTTGGCTCCCCGGTCCGGATCGGTCACTCCGCTGATCGGGAGGCATCTAGATTCGGGGCCACGTCGAGAAGCCCTGTTGTTCGTCCATTTGCGAAGCGTAGGGAGCTGCTCCGTCCGTTCTTTTGGTTTTTTTTTTTTTTTTTTTTGCATCTAAACCCCAGTCAATCGTTGCGAGTGGCCAGCCTAGACCACAACGCGTTTAACCTCTTTTAGTCCCTCAATCTCTCCAGATACGCATGGCTGATGGACCCCGGAAGCAATGTCCAAGGGAGAAGAGCAACAAGGGGTGGATGGTCTCACACTGACAACCCCCCGGCCCAAGCCCCCGCCTTCTCCTGAGCAGCCTCGCCAGGAACGGTTAAGACATCGCCGTCGACGAGGACGTAAAACCGGACAAGGGCCTTGAGGCTTCGATAATGAGGAATAGGGATCCCCTCAAATCAATGGCCTCAACGAGCACGACCCCGTCGAGCGCGAAGCCTCCATAATCTGAGTGGGTAACTACTGAAGCGATACCAGGTCCTTCAAGCAGCCCATCTTTGGCGAGACCAAGCCTTCCTGGCCTTTGTCTATCGTCTCAGTCGGTGTTATCCACACCGACATTTGAGAATGCGGCTCCCTACGTAGTGTGCGGGAAAGGGACCGAAGCTTGGTTGGTAAACGCGATGAGACGATGGCAAAATCCCAGCCGTCGGGTGTCCCTGGCCTTGACAATGAAAAGCGTCCCCCCCTCATTGCTTCGCGACGATAATAGGCCCCCAAGCCGATGGCGTGATTGAGTCGATAATCATGCCCTGTGTTTGACCCTGGGCGGGAAGCATAACAACACATCCAACGGTCCTCGCTTCGCAACCGGACGAGCAGCCTTTGCACCAAAGGTTGTCTTGAAAAAGCAAGTCGCTCTCACGAGTCTAAGCCAAACCGGGTAATCGCCATGCCATCGACACCGAAACAGGCACACACAGACACGTCGGCGGTTAAATGTAGCCGCTGCCAGACCATCCATGGGTGAACCGCGAGGATGGTCCCTCCACACGTCACACAGACTCTTTTGATCGGCATGTCACCGGAGAGGAGGGCTCATTTCGCGGCTACGGGACCCTTACGGTGACGCTGTTGAAGGTTCTCGCGCACAGGCAACGTCCCTCTGCAACGGCCCATGCTAACGTATCCAAACAGTCAGCAACGTAGACATGGGACGAAAGTCTGTTCGTCCACATGCGCATCCCGACGTCCTACTCCCGACGCCTATGCACAGAGTTGGCCTTCTGCCATGCAGCCATTCGCGGGTATGAGAACGGCAATCCTTCAACCCCCACCCCCCCCCCCCCCCAAAGCACACCGGGCGGTGATGGGGAACAGGAGCCGAGCCGAGTGGCCGGTCTTCTCGCGTCTTGTTTGACCGAGCCCCATCCCAGGAGCATGGGGCTCGGGATCGCCGGCGGGGTCACAGGTCAGATATCGACGTTCTCTTTGGTCTGACCACGTCCGACGCCGGGTGGGGGAAGTTTGGTAAAGATGGTCCAGAGTTTGGTGGTTCTAGCTGGACAAGCGCGGCAGAATAAGCTGTTGGCCCTCACTCTGATCGACCCGCCGTCGTTCTCGCGAATCGCAGCAACTTCCGATTGTGACCACAGCACGGGGACCGAAAACTCTGTGCACCGCTTCGTAGAGCCTCTGGAAACGAAGAATATGGATGAGGGGGGGAAGCGCTTGTTGAGCAGAGTTTAAACTATCCGCTCGTCCTCGCAATCACATCGCCCTACTGCCGCCGCCGCCGCCGCCGCCGCCTCCGCCAAGGCTCCTCTTGGCGGGCGGCGACCCCTTCACTGTCCTAGAGATCCTTTTTGCCTTCCCTCCCTATGCCTGTTCTCCTTCTGCGGCGGGACACTGGGCTGCGTACTTCGAGGTATCACCGCCGGCGTACGGCTCCCGTGTGAGGCCGGGCCGTGGACGAGGAGGTTCGGAAGGTGGATTTTTGTCTTTTTTTACCGGAGAGGCGACGGGAACGAACTAGGACGTGCGCGGAGGCTGAGCACGCCAGCACAAAAGGGTCTTGCTTCAAAGATAAAGTTATGCCAAACGTCGACTGCGCGTGAGTTGACAAGGGGGAGGGGGGTGTTGGTTTATAATCATCAGAGTTTAGATATAAGCATGTCGAGAACACAGCGACCGCGCATTGGTTAACGTTATATGGACTTGAGAGGTTGTATCAAGGTAGGTGGGTTTGCTCGAACTCACAGTAGCAGTATCTCTGGCCAAGACACACGAGCTAGTGAGTGAGCAAGTCCGAGGCACGGAATGGAGACATGCTGGGAGTTCTGAAGCTGGCGTTCACTAAGGGGGTGTTCCAATTTGCTGACCGGGGTTTGTTTTCCACTTGGAGTCACCGAACAAGTAAGCCCGGCCGTCGCTTTCACATCACAAGGTCGACCAGGCAGACTTCGGTTCCCATCAATTTCAATATGATTCTATGTACGGTTGTCTGGTCAATATCCACACTCGAAATAGGTGTCCGGCACTTTGGTATCGGCTTTATAATGAGCACTTGCCAAGGGGGGAGGGGGATCAAAGTCCGGTCCAACTTGCAGCAGCAATAAACTATGGGCTGTGGGAAGATTTTCGCGCTCCGGTTTCTCTCTTTTGTACAGATAATAATGAAACAAAGCTACCACTCCCTCCAAAAAAGGGCGGGCGCACTCATTTCAGGCCGCCGAACTTGATGCATCTCTCGATCCACCCCGGGCGCGGGGCATCGGCCGCGGGGGCCTGGTTCATGGGCCGTGAGGCGCCGGCGCCCCAGGTGCGCCATGTACTGTCGGTCCGGTCGGTGACCTCGGTCGGGGCCATGGAGACGCCGCGCTGGGCGAAGAGCGGCGCGGGCGGCTCCATCAGCCATGGCTCCCGCTGGTCGGGCTCATGCGGGGGCCGGTTCTGGTACAGGGACAGGATGGAGTTGGTGTCGTCGCGGGTCGACTGGCTGTCGGTGTCGTACCGGCTGGAGGAGGCGTACTGCGGGTTGTTGGGGTTGCCGGGTCCGGGGCTACCGACTCGGTCGGTACTCCGGTAGGCGGCGGGGACGGCAGGGACGGGTGGGGCAGTTGCGTTGACGGGACCGGAGCCGGGGCTGACGCTGCGGGTGGAGTAGACGCTGCTGCGGCCGCCCATTGGGTTCAGCTTGAGCGGGTGGTGGCGGCGGATCCAGCTGGCGATGGAGTTGCGGACATTGGGCTGAGCGACGGGGGCGGGCTCAAGGATGGGTAGCTGTCGGGTCGGGTCGACGCGCTTCTCGTCGAGGTAGCCCTGAGGGGTGAGCGAGTTGCGGTCCGGGTTGCCGTAGTAGCCGCCGTTCTCGGCGGCGTATGCCTGACCCATGAGTTCGGCCATGACGCTCGAAGGGGCCCGGCGGGAGGGGGCTGACGGAGGCGAGAAGGTCATGGCCGGGTCCCAGTAGAGGCCGTCGGGAGGCATGCCGCGCTCTTGCATCTGTCGGGCTCTCCGGCGTTTCCGGAAGCGGAGGAACCACCAGATGCCGACGCCGATGACGAGGCACAGGGCCGCGATGGCTGGATGGACCGGTCAGCAGATGCTACACGAGCACATGTCCCACGCGCAAACTTCTCGTTACTCCGATTGGTTGATTAGAAAGAGAAACGTACCGATGGTTCCAAACGCAATGGCGGTCGGCGTCCAGCCCACCTCGTTCGACCTGTCACGTCCCAGCCCGGACTCGTTTCCTCCTCTACTAATACCGTTCGTCGATTGCGCACCGGAGGCGGCCGTGGTCTGGGGAAAGGCGGCGGGGGCCGGTTGCGACGTGACGGAGGATCCGGCGGTTTGCTGGGGCTGGTCCGAGGAACCGGCGGATGAGATGGCTTGCGTGGGATCCGCCGGGTTGAAGGCGGGCGGCGGCGGCTGCTGGGACGGCGGCCGGGTCGGCTGGGCGTTTTCCGAAAACTTCGTTTTCGAGGGCGAGGGCGAGTCCTCATCGTCAGATGAATCTTCGTCCTTTTCCTTGTCCTTGTGGTCGTCGTCCCGGATCTCGATCTTCATATCATCCCTCCGGTAGCGCGGGCGGCGGATGACACGCCTATAGGTTCGCACTTTTAGTACCGGATCCCACCTATTTGCTTTCGATTCTGACGACCTACCTCCTCAGCGTGTCCGACGGAGCAACCATTTTATCTTTTTGTTTTAGTTTGGGCCAAGATGGAATCTGGTCTGGACCGACGAGTGAATCGATCTACAAAAGAAAAGGAGATTGCCGAGTCCACGGGTCGAATATAAGGTAACGGGAAAGGGGAAAAGAAAAAGGGTGTTATGAAAGTCGGGTCGTCGAGACACAGGATAGTTTGTTTAAAGCAGCTCAGCTGGGCAAAGTTTCCAGAACGGAATAAAGAGTAAAGGGCACTGCCTGCGAAGAGTCGGGAAAGGGAGAAGGGAATCAAGAGGCTTGGTTGGAGTATCGACAGACAAACCAAAAGAAGCTTCAAGCCATCTTGGCCTCGAGTGAGATGGAGGGTGGGAACAGGGAGGGAGATGTCGTCGAGAGTTAAAGGATGACAGAGTAGTGGTCAAGAGGGAAGATGGATAACGTAAGTGTAGGCGAGGCAAGGAACCACCAACAGGGGACTGATGGAGGTAGCCAAGACAAGTCTAACCGAACCATTCGGCTAGTCTCTTGTTCTTTTCATCCATACCCATACCTGGCACGCCGTTAGGTACTGCGTACGTGCGAGGTGCCCTCCAGAACCTGTCCGTGCAGCCGCCGTCTGGTCCATGTCATTGCGTCAAGAAGCGCTGTGGTCCAACACCCCGGCCGGGGGACTTGGGATTGTTTGCCTTTTGGAGAGTGCCATCGCCAATGGGGGGGGGGGGGGGGGGGGCGTGGGTGAGTGGATGCTGGGAAGATGCTGGATGGTGTGGTGGATGGGGGCATAGGTATGGCATTTCTGGAGCCACGAGACGAAAAGAGCAAATGGGAGGCCCGAGGACCCCCTGCAACCAAGATTCAGATGCTGCAGCAAAAGAAAACAAGCCTTGGGCAGATTGAGACGGCAGAGAGAGAGAGAGAGAGAGACGGAGGCCACTCAGGCAGCACGCAGAGAGACGGAGACATACCTACACAGAGTGACGCAGAGAGGCTCCCATTTGCCCTCGCTGAGTGTTTCTCCGTTTCAGAATGACTGCCAAGACTCCCGAAAACGACGTGGTGCGACACCCACTCCCCCCTCACTCCCCCTTTGGCCGGTGTCCCTAATCCACCACTGTCAGGACCTAGCGTTCCCGCCGCGGCTCGCCGGGGGTTTCTTCGCTGCCGGGGTGAGTGAATTTAAAGGAAAAACAAAAGAAACACAAAGTGCCGTCATGGACAGCGCCGACTCGTGCACGACTTAGACACGTACTAGAACATGGATGCTGGTGTGTACCAAAGCCGACGTGTACGGCCCGGCCGGGATCAAGCCAACCGTCGGGAACTATTCTATACACTAGTGACTAGGTAGTCAGTATAGTATTGTCCCGTTTGAGAGACAATGTGCAGGGGTGAATAGGCACGTGTATTGATTAGCTTTTGTACGCAATGTAATCCAGGCCAGTAATACTACCTACACGGCCAACTAGCCACTACGATAGCATGGCTACAAACCTATTGCTACCGTGACATTACATGGTACGCAGTGCTACCTATGGCTCTCTATGTAGTACTCCGTACGCATACTATCAATTGCTTGGAACGTAGCAGTGTTGCTCGAAACGTAGCAGATCGTCCGCGACCGACTGGGGGCGGGGGAGCTTCTCCGTCTGGAGAAGCGCGCGCGTTTCAGAGCACACCTACCACCTGGAAACATCACTCCGGGACGGTGGATCTAATCTTTTCTTAGTGACGGGGAGAGCTCCTTTGCCCCGAAGCCCTCTCCCCGTCAAGCCTGCGAGACCGCCTCTCCAAGGGTGACTCGAGTCAAGCCCGGCGGGCTGTGGTGCTGTGCATCTCGTATCACCTGTGCTCCGTCTCTCGTACCGTGGTATCCGAACTCGGTTCCGAATGAGGAGAGCAGCGGAGGGCCAGATCGGAAACACGACTCTCTTCTGCCGCGGGGGGTCAAACACCCTGTGCCAAAGCCTCCAGAACCACAGAGAAGGCTGAGTGGCAAACGCCATGTCTCGAGAGTTGACAAATTGACAGCTTGGCGTGAGCCAAAGGAGAAGCTGTCTCCGTTCTCACGGCTGAGATACGGGATGCTCGAGCCAACCAGCCTCTAGTCTAGGTATTAATCAATCCGGAGCCCGCTTCAGAAACCCACCCCCAAGGCGCTCAATCAATGCCTAACTGATGCATCCTGTTGGGACTCTTCCCTGTCCTGCCATGCTCTGTTTTTCCTTGCATCTGTGGCCTCCTCAAAGCTTGCTTTCTTTCCCGCTCGCGAGTCTGTGCATAATAGCTGGGGGGCTCGTCTGCAGGTCCTCCTCCAGCGACGGCCGATCCCTCTTCGTGGGCGAGACACGTTAGTATGAACCAAGGCGATGCCCTCGTAGATCATGTCGCTCTCCGCGACAGTAGCCCAGAACAGGAAATAAAAGGGGTAGTCTAGAAAAGTTTAACAAACTCCACCCCCCTCCGTAAGGCTCTTCGTCTCTTTGTTGACACTAAATCGCAGCAGGCCATCTCATCTACTTGAAGCCAACCGTCGCCCAGGAACCCGACAGGGCTTTCTCTCTCTCTCTCTCTCTCTCTCTCTCTCTCTCTCTCTCTCTCTCTTTATCTCGTTTCCATGTGGCTAGTTGGGATGGTTTTTCATGTACGTAAAACACTAGTGCTCCAGAAAACACCGTCAGCGACAAAAGCTTGGCACCGCGGACCCGCGACAAATGGGAGGGTGGAAGCAACATCGTAGATGGGCACGGAGGCTCAAGCGGACACTGCTGCTCCATCCCTCAAATGAACCCTCGAAGGCGTTGCCACGAGTCGAACCTACCCCAACTCAGCTTGAGTCGACCCAGCAAGTTGGCTCGATTCTGCTCCACGTTCGGATCAACGCAGGAACGTGTCTGTTTCTTTTTTGTTTCCAAAGGGCGGTAAGGCAGCGGCCGCTCGAAGCCGGTCAACCTCCTAATGCGGTAGTGAATTCATTCCAATAGTGTACAAGCTTAGAAGGCTTTTGGCATTATCCTTCCATCTCACGCGCGCGCGCGCGCACACACCTTCTTCGGCATTATGCCGAGTGTCCTCGATTCAGATGCCGCTTACTGAGTAATACTCCGTAGAACGTGGCAAACTCCCGGAACCCGGGAGCCCTGCCGTCTGACATCACTCCGGAACATGTCGGAAAATTAGCGGGCGGGCCAGCTCTGAGGTGGGCTGACCACATTCTTGTTCATCTCTTCATATCTAGCGTGGCCGTTTTAGATAGAATACTGCCTTGCGCTTCTCTGTCTCTGGTCAATCTCCGTCGGTCAAATATATTCCACGGGGGGGGAAAAAGTAGACATGAGCGACACTGCTCCGACTTGTCAAGGTGGGTTACAGACGCGGGACCGAGGCGAATCCCGCATTGCGTGTCATTCACGCCGGCCGGAATGAGCAAAACGCGAAGAGCGCGATGAATGCCACCCATCCTAGGACGAACACGTTCGTCGTCCAAGGCTTACAGTCAGACATTTTTTTCCGTCTCCAGAGTCAGAGCAAGGTCCGGCAGCAACTCGCGTCGCCCCTCCTTGACCACAAGCGTCTCACATCTCACAGAAGAAAATAAACCGGGTAGGCAGCTTTAGCCCTCGAGAAGGGGTTCGCGCAGCCTCATCCTCGATCAGGGAAATTTTGCGACATCAGTGGAAGTAATGAAACTGCTGCAGGATGCCATCTGCAGTTGAGATGTGTTGTACTGCATAAGGCGTTAATTGCTGCTTGCGATTAACGGCGTCGTTTTTGCGACAAGATGGAAATGGTGATCGAGTCCAGTCGGGCCTCAAGGCCGCGGCACACTCCATCCCATTTCCCGAAAATAACAGGTCCTAATTATGCCTGAAATAATAGAGCTGCAAGATTTCTACATCCATCGGGCTTATGAAAACCAGCTCGGGCAACGTAGAACGTGAATCCATCTCGTTATGGCACTATAATTGGCCAACACCCCGAGCTGTTGCTGCATGATCGGTCCATGAAGCTCACAGGCCACCATATCACAAAAAGAAACAACCGGGTGTAAACTATAATTATCTCGCGCACTCGTATCACACGGCAAGACAGAAGGCTCAGCCTCTTGTGTTACTGAGATGGCACATGACATAAACTCGAGACCGTCGGGGTTTGCCAAAGGCCCCGAGGCTGTACCGCTTTACTGTCATCATCACGTTTACCACCCATTACTAATCACCTTGGTTATAAAAGTTGAGGTATCAGTCTTGTAAGTTGTAGCCTCTGGCCAATGGATATGCAAGATAAGTCTTGGTGTCCGCTTTGGAAGCGCTCAATGTCTTATAGATATTTCTACCCAGTGCCCACTTCGCATGGCACCGCGTATTCGTTTCCGTTCTTGTCGTCCTACTCCGTAATGTGCATTATTTTCAAAAAAAAAAAAAAAAATTATTTGTACCTGCTCTCAATGTCGCAGGGCAATTCAATTAATTGCCTCGATGCTTCGCCAAACGACTGACGTGGACGTCTATAAGCTCTACGCTGAAAAAAGTACCCCCCAAAAGTTCCAGTCTGGGTTCATGAGAGACGACTGTCCAATCTAACAGGTCATGATGCCTTGTCACTGTGCTACCTGATTGTGAATGGTGGCTGTTTATACGAATGAATGACTGTTCAACTCCAGTAAAGTAATGCAGGGCCCCTTGACAACAACTTGAACGATTAACATAAGCATGTCGCCCTTATCAGTCTTTCGAGAGACCCCCGATACTTACGTCATTCGCAGGTTTATAGTTGCTGCTCTGATCCGGCGATCCCTGAGAGCCACCTTTTATAGCCTATTGCTTGAACTTCACGGTAATTCCAATTCCAATCTAGGCTGACTCAACAAGGTATACCATTTTCACTTCAGGCCTCAAGTCTACAAGATTTACCTGCGATGCCCCACTTTGCCGCCGCGCGAACTCGACTATCTACACCCGAAATCATAGACAGAACGAGGTGATATCTGCTTCTCGCTTTGTCAGGGTCTCCTGACTGCACCTAAATCAGATAGCTGAATCACGCGCTGAATTGAAGAGAAACCCGACAAACATACTGATATCCGGCTATTGTGGAAAATCGGACGGGTTTATTGGAGCGAAGCACCGTGGAGGAGCAGCACAGAAAGCATTTGACCCGCTTACGACTCAAAATGGACCTCACATAATATGATGTTTGATCTGATGCAGCGGTTGCTCTGCGTTATCGGGTGTTTTATACCATATTGAAATTGGGAAGATTTACTGCATTTCAGAGGAGACTTGTTAAAACATTGGCGATGACGTGTGTGCTCGAAGACCTTCTTTCGGGAAATCCTATCAAGCATGAAGTTCGCAGGCCAGAAAAGTTAATACATCTCGCAACTGACTCCAGCAGAGGTAGGAAGAAACCGTAGTTTACCAAGCTCAATTCTTGAGACCGATCGCCCTACAACTCCTTGACACATGGATTAGGTGCATTAGAACTTTATATTGTTCTTCTGTTGGATCACATCCGCTACTTTTTGTGTTGGAAAGTTGGTATTGTACCGCTCGAGGGCGATGATAGTACAGTTTGTCGTCTTTTTAATATTGGTGTTTCTGTAACCGCACAATCAATCGGCTAGTGGTGGCTTGCTTGAACTAGTGAGAAAAACGATCAACGATACGGTAATTGTCTCTCTGGATGGCCGTTTAGCAAATCAACGTCTCCATTGTCTTACTGCTGGAACGTTACTGCGGGATGTGGCTTGAAAACTCGAGTCTGGCTTGCAAGTTGATGAACGAGGCGAAACCACACGCAGCAAGACACATGTTCAAAAGGCCGAGAACAATGACGAACGAGTCAGGCTGAGTCCCCTGCCTCGGTGCTGCCCCCATGTCGAAGATAATGGCTGTTGCGGTGTGGTTTGCATGGGGTTGTCCTTGGCCAGCACAACACATCGCCAACCAAACCAAGGACTTAAGCGCCCAAAAAGGGAATAATGGCTGTGACGTCATGCGCCTCTCGCCCCTCCGCCAAGGGCGCGATGGCCTGGAATGAGGTCAATGGCCGAGATGGGCGATGAACTCGTCAGCTTACGACCATTCTTGATTCGGCTCATGATGGACGTCAACTACGTATCTGGTAAACCTGTGCCTGTCACTTTCTGCAAGTTCTGGAAAGGTTGACATCTGCTTTATATCTGCAGAGACGGCACACCTCCCACCGGTTGCATCCGAACAAGTTTCCAGCAGCGCAAATCACACAAGGATCATCCATCCTATATGCACAACCACTCAATCTCACGTTTGACAAAGAGAGAAACCTTCCCTTAGCTGCGGCAAACATGAGACGAACGAATAGCAAGTTGCTAGCTTCGCTGGCAGTTCTCACTCTCCACCCTATGACGGCCCTCGCGCAGTCCGACGTGTCGTCGAAGCGCGGGCTGGCGTACCAAGGCGACAACCACGAGGCCGACGCCCGGCTGCTCACCTCCGAGAGGTCTCCCATTAACTGGTATTACACCTGGTCGACATGGCCTGCCCAGGGACTCAACAGCTCCGTCGCCTTCGTGCCCCTCGTGCACGGCGTCAAAGACGCCGAGGACTCGAGCCTGACGTCCCGCCTCAACGACCTTCCCGAGTCTTCGACGCACCTCTTGACCTTTAACGAGCCCGACGGTACCAAGTCGTCCGGCGGCAGCAACATCGACCCGGAGGACGCCGCCAAGGCCTACCTGGAGCACCTCGCCCCGCTCCGCGACGCCGGGCCGCGCCGCTGGAACATCAGCCACCCCGTCGTCACCGGCTCGCCGCAGGGCATCGAGTGGCTCCGCAAGTTCAACGAATCGTGCTACGACATGGACGACGCCGGCTGCCCGACCGACTTCGTCGCCGTGCACTGGTACGGCGACGCGACGGGGCTCAAGAACCACCTCGGCGCGCTGCGGGCCTTCTACGGCGACGTCTCGGCCGACCTCGGGTTCTGGATCACGGAGATGGCGCTGCCCCAGCAGAGCGCCGACGCGACGCTCGCCATGATGAACGAGAGCCTGGCGTACCTGGACGGCCTCGACGACGTCGAGGCGTACGCGTGGTTCGGCGCCTTCCGCGAGGACGAGGCCAACGCGTGGACCGGCGACTCTGTGGCCCTGTTCGACGACCACGGCGGCCTGACGGACCTCGGCGCCCTGTACCTCGGCGGAGAGGAGCGTGGCTTTGAGGCCGGCCAGAAGGGCGAGGGAAACTTTGCCGGCCGTCTTTCGCCGGCCGGACTGCTCCTCTGGGGTACCGTATTTGCTGCCGTCGAGGCTCTGTGGTAAGTCCTGGGCTCTGGAGATTCGAGAAAGAGAGAGAAAGAGAGAAGCGATCTGCTTTGTGAGGACACGGGCCACGATGCATGGTTCATGACATATTTTTTCCACTTCGCATATATACGCGTGTGCTGGCCACACACGAGCATTGGACATGAGCGAGAATGATACCTACTAGACTGGATTCTTTTGTCGTCGAAGTATATACCACGTCACATATACACCATATAGCAATACGAATACAACTTTTCATGCTTCGTCGTATACATTAATTGCGCATGGAATCGCGCCACCTTCGTCGGTGCGCAGCCCTCATATGCGATATAAAATAAGATAAAAACACAATGAGTGGATGCGTCCTTTTCTGATCTGTCTACGGATCGACAGCGTTAGCGTTGGCTTCATGGACGTTTCCAAACCACGCGGCATCCCACGTGGCTCGACTTGAGCCGCAAGCAATACTACGCTCTCTCGTCAGCGCAAAACGCGGGTATCTGCAACGACTACACTACCGTGCCTCCCTGGCCCGCCCACGGACAGCTGTTGCCCGAAACCACCATGAGTCTTCCTTCGGATGCACGAGCCGTTCGAAGAAGCGGAATAAGTGTGATTCCAGTGGCTGACGGCGGTAAGAATGGGTTGAAGACGGCGATCGCGCCACGGGTCGCGGAGCCGGGCCTGACCCATGGTGTACAGAAGAAACACGTTTGCTAGCTGCGGATGTTACCGTTAACTTTTCCACCATGAGACCAGCGGCCGGGGAGCCGTATAGCCCCCTCGTCAAGACGGGCCCGGCGGACGGGGCGTTTGGGAAGGGAAATCCGTCTTTACCGCCGTCGCCGGCGTCATCATCGCTCGGCGAGCAGCTGGCAAAAAAGGTTTACCCTCACGTCTGCCAAGGGAATAAGTTCTTTGATGAAAATGCTGCGCCTCTTCGGGCAGGGCGAGAACTCAAGTCATTTGAGTTGGCCAGGGGGGGGGGCATATGGTTCTTCTTCTGTGGGGGGAGGGGGGCAGGGCGGGCAAAGTTTTCGGAAAACCAACCTGAGCGTCGGGTTCGACGAGTCGGTGCAACATTCTGTCCGACGAGCTGGGATCCGTCGAAAGAGAGGGGCCTACACGTGTTCACTATCGCCGTAACCCTCGACAAGATAGATGCGCTGCAATCGGTTGGATAGCCAAACTTGACTAGCTTTGCCCAATCGAAGTTGAGTCTGCCGTTCGGTCATCAAGTCACAATTTGCCTTGTAGTATGGCGTAAATCTACTTGTACTATCTAGTTGGCTGCTTTCAAGGCAGCGTTCGGTCGCTGCAACCGCTGCCCACCCTTCTTTAGTATAGGTAGCTCTTCCGGTTGAATAGAGTCTTTCGTCTGCAAGGCGTGTGTAGGTTTACATGGCGGTCAAACAAGCATGGGCAGACACCTCACCTCCAGTCAGCCTGGCCTTGGCTTTGCTTACCTCTTGGCTAGGTAGTTGCTCGTTTCATCCGTTCTGCAGCACTGGCATCGCCGCTCTCCTCACGCCAGCCAGGCTCTTTCGTTGCCGATGCCTACATGATGTATTCACCTGTGTTTCCATGACTGTGTATGTGCGGCCCTGCGGGGGACCGCCTTGGATCAGTACCATAGGTCCATAGCTGACGATGCCTAGCCTTGTGTGCGATACCTACATAGTATTTTCATTGTCTGAGCGCGACAACGCTGTGCGACGGTGACAGGGATGATGAGTCCACGACACGGTCAAGACCTCGGTAGATACCCACTCTTCCCACATTTCTCTTCAGGGGCTCAGGGAGAGAGACGATAAAGTTGCTGTGCATAAATGGAATCGCGTCTCCTGATGTTGAAGGGGATGGCGTGGGCGCGTGCCGAGTCAACGGTCACAGCCTCAGACTCAAGACTGCCCCGAGCCCATCCCGCGGGTTGCTTTTTACGCTTCGCGAGCTGAAAATCTTACTCTTACCGACCCGGCGGCTCTGTCCACAACACTGTGAACTAGTGGATCAGAACCCACGAAAGCGAAAAGGGGGGGTAAGGGAACAAAAGGCGAATCAAAGCAGCCCGAAGTCGTATGGGCCCGGGAATCGTGAAAAAAACTTTCGAGGTGTAGGTTTCCATCGCCGGGATATGGCTTCTGAGGCTCCCGTCCGGGTGGCCGTCGTCGGAACCGGCTTGGCAGGCCTCACTGCCGCATATCTCTTACAGAACGACGAGCAGCAGCGGTATGCAGTGACTCTTCTCGAACAGGTGAGAGGAGGGCTCCGGGATCCGGTCCGCCAGAACTTGCTCACAGCGCTGACCTGATGCAGGCCGAGAGTCTATCCTTCGACTCGGCGTCGGTCGCCATCCGAGACGAGAGGTCCGGCCATGTCGAACGGGTCGATCTGCCCATGCGCGCGCTCGCGGGAGGGTACTACGCAAACGTGATGCGCATGTATGACCACCTGGGCATCCCGTACCATCCCATACGCTTCCTTTTTTCCTTCGCCAAGGCGCTGCCGACTCGCAAGCCGGATGCCGCAGGCGGAGCAACGGGAGAGTACTTTGTGCACGCGTCGAACCTGCACCAAATCCCCCCTTGGCCGGGGAGCCGCGGGGTGCTGGTGCACCTCATCGAGATACTGTACCTGATTGTCTGCCAGTTCTGGTTCACCCTCGTATGTTTCCTGGTGCGTCCCGTGACCAAGGGGTCCGACGAGGCGGAGACGCTCGACGAGTACCTGCGGAGGGTCTGGCTGCCGCGTCGCTACGTGACGCACTACCTGCTCCCTCTCCTCAGCGCCGTGTCGACCTGCTCACACGACGAGCTCCTGGCGTTCCCCGCCAGCGACGTCGTGAACTACAAGAAGCTATCGCAAGGCCAGCAGCACTACACGGTCTGCGGCGGTGTCCATCAGGTCGAAGGGAGGTTGGCGAGGGAGATGAGGGACGTTCGGCTGGGCGCTTGGGTTGCGCAAGTGGCGCCGACGACGGACGGGAGGGTGAGGATACACTGGCAGCGCACGAGGAGTGGCGTCGAGCCTGTCCAGGAAGACGTGTTTGACCGGGTCATCCTCGCCGTGTCGCCGGACGTCGCCGGCAAGATCTTCGCTCCCCTGAGGAAGACGCTCGAGCGGATACCCACGATCCGGGTGGAGAGCTCGATTTTACGACCGGCGCATTCGGCGCCGGACCACGCCCTTAGCCTGGTCGTCGACGGCGAGAGCAGACACCCCAAGGCCTGCTCGCATCACCGCGGGAACGCCATCCCGCCGCAGGCGATCTGTCTGCGTACCGACTTCGCCGCGGAAGGGGGGCGGACAGAGGCACTGCACACGATGCCGGGAGGAACGGTGGTGAGCACCTGTCCGTTGGACCCGCAGGCCGACGCGAAGAGGGTGCTGCGGACGGCCAGGTTCACGAGGACCCTGAGGACGGCCGAGAGCAGGGCGATCGTACGGAGGATCATGGGCGAGTCGGGCGACCAGGACAAGAAGACGGACCTGGCCGCCGAGGCCGCAACGATATGGGTGAACGGCCAAGATAACGTTTGGTTGACGGGGGCCTGGTGCTGGGATGGCATGGTTCTCCTCGAGGGGTGTTTGGTCTCGGCGATGAGAATCGCCGATGATTTTGGCGTCAAGGTTCCGTGGCGGCCTGGGTAGACGCTCACTTGTGCCCGCCCCAATCGATGCTACACAATGGGGAAAGAATATAATGAAATGAAACTTGAAATAAACGTCCTACATGTGGATGAAGTGAGCGAGAGACATCAGCTATTCGAACCCCGAGTGAGTGGGCCTGACATGACACGTGACAGGTGTTCTTATCTCATTCTCTCTCATCTCTCTCTCTCTCTCTCTCTCTCATCCTTCGACTCGTGTACTTTCAAGTGAGATCCCCTTGAGTGAGATCCCCTTGAGTGAGATCCCCTTGAGTGAGATCCCCTTGAGCGAGATCCCCCCCTCCGCATTCGGCTCGAACTCACAACTGTCTCACCCACACCATGATAAACTCATTCAACTTTCATCCAGAATTCTGGAGGGGCCTCTTTCTCGGTCTTTTTGGCAGCTTACTGGCCGTCTTCTCTATAGTCGCTCTGGTTGCTCTCAAGTTCTTACAAAATGGCGTGTACGACAACGACCACTGGAAGCTCAACGTCAAGGTGCCGTCTACTACAATGTGGATGAATATGGGCTATTGGTACGTCTATTACCCGTCCAGTTTACTCGAGACGCTCTCGTGCACACCGCCTCCTTGCGCCTAATCTCTAATGCGGCCCCTCCCCCCCCCGTCTAGGACCGGTGACGATGGTCAGCGCATCCGGGACTTCCAGCAGGCCTGCCGTGCTCTTTTGCACCAAGTGCTCGCCGAAGCAGGCGTCTTGAGAGGCGAGCATCCGACACGCAGACTGGCCGTCCTCGACCTTGGAATCGGCTGCGGCGACCAGTCGCTGGAACTCGCTCGCCTCGTCCGCCAGAGCAGCTGGGACGAGTACCGCTACGTGGGGCTCACCCTGAACCCGTCGCAGTTCCGCATAGCCCTCGAAAAGCCATTCCGCGCCTCCCAAGAACCCGGGGGCCCTGATGAGTCCATACAAGTCTTCCAGGCTGACGCGGCGAGACCGGACACGTGGGGCCCCGGCGTCAAGTCGGCCACGACGTCCCTGACGGACGCGCGCCCCGGGGGCCAGGCGCGCTGGGTGCTCGCCCTGGACAGCCTATACCACTTCTTCCCCGACAGGAGGCGGATACTCGAGTATGCGGCTCGAGAGTTCGACGCTTCATTCATGGCATTCGACCTGCTTCTGAGCGACACGGCGTCGGGCCGGCAGAAGTTGTTGGTCAAACTCCTCGGCCTCGCGATGGGTTGCCCCGTGGGTGCGTTTGTCACAGAGACCGAGTATAAGAAGCAGCTGGACGAGGCCGGCTATGACGGGAGACACGTTCGTTTCCGGGACGTCACGGATGACGTCTTTTCCGGCCTCGTCGACCACATCAGGGCCCAGGAGGAAGCACTGCGGCCGTTCGGAATCTCGATGGCAAAGTTCAAGGTTGCCGGCAAGTTCTTCGACTGGTTCGCCAAATCAAATGTGTTAAGGGCTACCGTTGTAGTCGCCCAGAGGAAGCCCAAGAGACTCTGAAGTTGTAGAACACCCTGGTCCTGGAGCCAAAGAGAGAAGAAAATATTTACACACGCTAACGAACGGGTCTCTCACCGCTAAATAAACAACGTGGAATGCATTGTGTGTTTGATATCGACTCAGGCGTAGCTACTGTCGCAATACTGCGATGGTTCGGCCACGGCAAAAACTCTTTGAAAGAATCTTATACAGGTACCGGAAAGCCGACATCTGTAATGCTCCCTGTCATTACAAACCCAGAACGCAGACCTGTAAACAACATAGTCTATGATGTATCCATCCATCGTCCCCCACCGCCAAACAAAAGCCTAGGTTGCGAAGCGGAAGTCGAGCCTGCCAGGTAGGAAAAATTAGAAACCAACATGTCGGAAAGCGGACAAAGGGAAGCCTTACCGCTTGTTTCCTTTGTCGGTGGTGTTGGCTCGGTATTCGTGCTGCTGTTCGGGCGTCATGGCATCCCACTGCTTGGCCTTGGAGTTGTTCCTCCACCGGTAGTAGAAGTACGTGAAGGGGTATTGCACGAACTGAGAATGACGTGAGTTTCCCATGCCCGCCTTGAGCCCCGTGTAGGAAGAGGGGAACGCTACTTACACACATCCAGATGCAGATGACCAGCAGGCCCTTGTTGGCTTTGAAGTATCTCGGCGCATCGTCCGGTTGATAGACTTATCAAAAGTCAGCATTCTCGTTCCGTGAAGCCGGGGGGGGGGGGGGGGGGTGTCATGTACTTACTGTTGGCGCCGATCATGCCACTGACTTGCACAAACATGTTGTAAAGCCTGGTTTGTATTGGTCAGATACGTCAGGGGATCCCAACGGAGAACCATGCGAACTTACGAGGCGGAAACCGTCCTGTTCTGCACAGAACCAGCGTTTCTGCTAGTCCAGGCAACTTGGATTGGGTGCGTGCTGGGTCACTCATTAGCTTTTTTCTTCTTCTCGATTTTCCGTCCCGGATAGCAACGTACTACGGGAACGAAAGGAGAACCGTGGCGATGGCAAAGTACGCCCAGGGGCTGATCGGGTCCGCCAACGCTATCAGGGCCACGAAGCAGGGCAGCAGCCAGGCGTCCTCGGCCATGGCGACGAAGCTGCGGTTGTTCAGCAGCTCGCTGGCGGCGGTGATGAGCAGCATCGTGACGCTGGAGCCGATGATGTTGGGGATCGACAGCAGGTTGGTCTGGATGACGTTGAACTTGAGGTCGCGCAGCGAGAGCGTCAGGTACTGGCTGACGGGGTACTTGGGCAGGCCGAAAAGCAGGCCGAGGGCGTAGAGCGGCCACATGTCGTAGTCCTTGGAGCACTCCCAGATCTGCCTGACGGAGAGGCCTTGCCGGTTGTACATGCCTCCCTTCTGGGGGTCATCGCGGATCACTGTGGGTGGGTTTTGTCGAGTCAGAACCGGCAAACGCGCTGAGCTCGTTCATGGTGTCGAGGGGAGGGGGTTTAGATCGAACTCACCAGAGTTGACAATGATCTTCGCCTCCTTCTCGGTGAAGTAGCCCTTGGGCCTCCACCAGCTTTTCGTCTTGGCCGGGCACTGAGGCATGAGGAAGAACGAGGCCAGTCCGACGGTGACTAGAACAGAAAAAGAAGACTTCAGTTTTGGGGACTTTCGCGGACACTTTTGCTCATCTTACAAGTGAAGGCACCCCTTAAAATATGGTTAGCAAATGGTCTTCAGCAGGTACCGGAAGCAGAGAGACTCAACTCGACGAGGAACAACCACCGCCATCCCTCGTAGCCTAGGATGCCACGCATGGATACAAGTCCAACAGCGGCGAAACCGACTCCGATATCGACTGGTTGGGGTCACGTCAGAAAGAAAGAAGCCTGGAGGGGGGGGGGGTGTGGCGACGGTTCGCGGGGGACGACGTACCCAGCTGCGACGACATCCAGAACCAGGCAAGACGGATCGGAAGCTGCAAAAGATCAACAAAGCCGTCCGAGAAATGCCCAAGAAATCGCACGTTGAGAATATACTCACCGATGTACCGGTGTACCAGTAGCTGAGATAGAGGATCGTGTCGCTGCCAGGAGGGCTTAGTCGCAGGTTTTGTGATGGGATATCGCCAAGAAAAGGGGGGCCCAAGACTTACGGGATGAAGCCGCCTTGAAACGACGCGCTGGTTTTGGTCCGGTTTGTTAGCTGGAAAGCCCCCCCCCCCCCCCAACAACAATCGTTCCGATCTCTTTCCTGTTGAACTCACATCAAGTATCTCGTCGCAAGGAACGAGGCCCGGCCCTTAAGGAAGAACTGGGCGCCGGAGATGATGGAGAAGAGGCAGATCTGGATCGGAATCCACAGATCAGGGCCGATGCTACACGCGCAAACGCAGAGACGCCATACAAATCAGCCGAAATACTTTCTTGGCGGTCCGGTAAAAGGGGGAATCGTAAAAACGAACCGTTTGGAGATCAGCTGGGACGGAAGCTCAGCGACGAGGAAACCAACTCGCGAGATGGTTTGACCAATGTTCTTTTTTCGTCCATGTGCGTCAGATCCTGAACAGTCCCTCTCTGGTCGCACAAGTCGTAGAAGAAACTCACGTAGTCGCCTCGCGTCAGGCCGAGATCGTCGAGCATGTTGTCCGACACGGCGTTGGAAATGTTGTTCCTGTCAATGTTGAGAGCCGCAAACATGATACAGGCCCAAACCTACAGCACAACAGCGTGGTCAGCGCAAAGTCCCTAGTTTGGTTCTCTTGTCTCTTCTTCATCCACATTGGAGGCTTCGTTTTTACCATGATCTTCCAGTCGACCTTGCGTCGCACCGCTCGCTCCTCCCTCCACGTCCAGCGGAAGCTGGGGTCGAAGGCGGACCAGTTCTCCCACTGCGGGTGGATGTAGAGGCTCTTGTATTCCTCGACGTTTTCCGAGTCCCAGATGCTGGGTTGCGTAGCGATCTTTTCAAGAAGCCAAGGTCAGCTTTTGTGTCTTCTTCTCTTCTTTTCTTCTCAAAAGTACCCGGGGGGCGGGAAACGACGTACCGCGTCGAGGTCGTAGACGTCGGCCTTGGGGCCCTTTCGGATCCCGAAGAAGCGCAGGATCGCGTCTCCGAGCGCGGCCTCCATGCGCTGCGTCTCCTGCGTCGCGAGCGCGGGCGTTGTCGGCGGCGTCACGTCGACGGGAGGCCGCTTGTCGTCGTCGACGACGGCCACGGGCGTTTTCGAGTCCGGCGCGCCGCGGTCGGACGACGAGGTGACGGACCCCGGCGGCGAGGCCTTGGGTACCGACTGCTGGGAAGACATATCTCTTGCTTCAACCTTTCCCGCGGGCGGGCGAGAAAATGGCGTACGAGGGGAGGGGGAGAGGGTGGCAGTCTAGCACAACAGGGAGAGGGGCCGGTCTACCAAAGCCCGTTTGCCGGCACAGCATTCTATATAAGGAGTCTTTTCCTGGTAAAACTCTTCCAACATAGGGCCCCGACGGTTCCTGCGCGCTGACCCGGGCTGCCGGGTTCTTTGGCCCAAGCAGCTCACGGAGACGTCGCCGTCAGAAAGACGTGATGAGGAGTCCCAGGGCGTCGATAGGCAGAAAAGGGGGTTCCGTTCCCTCCCCTCCCCATTCTCGGTGACAACCCGAAGGACGATCCACAGCGGAATGACGACAGGCCGCTTCACCCGGCATTGTCGACCCCGACCCCGATGGAGGTGTTCCGAGGACATGTGCCAGTCGGATAGTGTGTGTGTGTGTGTGTGTGTGTGCCACGCGAGCAGCTGCTTAAGCCAACTTCATCGCGCTTCTTCGAGCCCGCTTACCTGGGCTTTGGCTCTAGTTTCAACTCTGAAGCTTTCCCCCAAGGCTTGGATGACGCCATGAACATTTGCGCTTTGAGCTTATTTCTCTGTCCCGTCATATCCCCCCCTTCTTCTTGTCTTCCAAAGACTCTCTCCACCACCCCCCGTCATAGGTAGTTAGCCTCTTGTGTTCCTCAACCCGGCCCCCCTCTGGATCTACGGCCGCCGTTGTGGTGGAGGAGAGGACGAAGCAAGGAACAGGCATATTTAATGGGGCCGATGCTACTGTGCGCGCCGTCGTAGTGGCTCACGTCACATTGCGTGCCGCTCACGCAATTGATTCACCATCGTCTCGGTCGATGGCGTGCTACACGCCGAACCCTTTTTTCGGGGATGCGTAACGAATGGATGGGCCAATAACGCCGTGGTTGATTTGCATATCGGGGATTTTGGTTCTCGTCGCTTCGCAGTCTACAAGGGCGCCGCCACGGATTTCACATTTGAGCTTTTTTATTTTTATTTTTCAACCGGCACGTTGAAACAGAAACATCCCCAGCTTGGCCGTCACAGGTTATGATGGGTTTCCAAAAAATGCTTGCTTTTTTGTGATCCACTGGGAAAGCCGTCTGCAGTCATCGTTCAAGTCATTGGCAAGATATCGCGGGGAGGGAAAGCGGCTGACACTCTTGATGCTCTGGTTATCTCTGTCTTTGGTCCCGATCCCTTCGAGAGAGCACGAAGCCACCCCTGTTGTTGTTTGCTGGTTCGTCCTCCATTGTTGCTGTGTCTCTCGTAAATGCCGTCATCTGCAACGACGACGCAGCCGGTCCGGAAACGAAGCGGAGACGGGAAAGGGGAAAAAGACTCGGGCGCCTGTTCTCGGGTTCCCTGCGGAGCAGGCATCCTCTCTACGGTCTCGACTCTGGTTCCCAGGGGATGATTAGTTGAGTACCAATACTGAAAAGGAATTCGCACAGAAGGCTGCGGCTTATGGCTATTATAAATGCTAGAAACAAGGTAAAGGTAACGCGGTATACAATCGCTCCGTTTGCTTTTGTATGCAGAGACGGCCGTCTCTGTAGATCCTTTCCCCGACGTCGTCTTCGCGCCCAGAAAGCTCGTACTGTTATCCGTGAAAGCAGCGACTCGTCCAGAACGGCAAAAGATGAAAAAGAAAAAGAAGAAAGAATCGTTCTGCCCAGTCCACTCGGCTTCCGCTCCTCCATCAAACACCTCTCATTCTCTCGTCCCTCTAGCCAGAAAGTCCAGTCTTCTTAGCCTGGGATCTGATGTGCGTTCTGTAGTCGGGCTCGACGCATGTCAGCGGCGTCATCGACGTGCTGGCGATGCGCTTGTGCTTCACGGCCTCCTGCATCCGCGCGCACTCGTCGTGGTTGTACGTATCGCAGTTACGGTCCGTGAGAATCTCGAGTTTGCCGATCCGGTCCATCAGCGACTCAAGGCTGCCCTTGTACGCACAGGTCGGGTTCGCCGTCGTGATGTTGATCTCCATGTCGAGGAACCCCTGAATGAGGGAGCCGAGGGCGAGCGCTCTGCAACGGGGAGACATGGTCTTGCGGAAGTGGCGGGAAACGAAGCGGCATTCGCAATTGCCTCTCTTCAACTCGTCGTACAGCCTGCTATAAGGCATGATTGTTGCCAAGATCCAGTGTGCTCTTTTGACTGCCATTCTCTCTGGAGCCCACCGTGTCAGTACAATAGCCAGCACGACCGGAACATGGCAGAATGCATCGTCACACTCACCGATCACGCTTGTTGGGACCAAGGGCGCGGTCGCATCAACGAGGAGGTCCCAATGGGGCTCGGGGTCTGTGTTTCTGCCTAAAGGTCTGTTTGCTGGTATATTCGACTTCGTGAGCAGGTCGCCGCCGTCAGTGCTGATGGTGCATGTTTCAACGATGCGAGAGGTCATCGTGCTGAACAACCCCATATCACCAAGCGCCCAGGCGATAGAGAGCAACCTCGTGTAGTCTCCGCTGCCCCTGACGCTCGCCAGCCACGCCTTAACCCAGGGGCGAGCAAGAGATAGAGCGTCGTACTTGTCCATGACAATGACGAGAGCATGTAGGGTTTGGAGCTCCATCTCCTGGGGCACCTTTTGGAAGTCTCCGTGCATGATGTCCAGCATAAGCCGCATCGGGACCGGTTGATCGTCTGGGAGGTCGATGAACCGGTTGCCCTGATCACCTTGAAGAGGCCGGGGCTCGGCAAGCTGGCCAGAGATCATCTGTTGCATTACCGGAGACGAACGGGAAAGGGCTTTCGAGCAGACGAGGTAAGTGGAGGCCTGGCCGACGCGAGCGGCGCCGACGAAGAGAAGCAAATCACCATTTCCGTCGAGCCTGACGACGGGCTCTGGGTCGGGTAGTTCGAGCTTTCGCCGCTTCGAGTCTGGTTCCGAGGTCGAGGTGGGATCTTGAGTCGTCGTGACTGCGGCAGAGTCCTCCATGACATGCTCCTTTTGGGGAGACTCCAATTTAAAGTACATTATGCCAAGATGTTCGAAGAATGAGAGTGGGTTTGTATGGATCAAGGTGAGAGACTGAGTTCGCGTGAGTGGAAGCATGCGAATGAGCTTGTTTGAAGGACGGGGTGAGGGTGAGGGTGAGGGTGAGAGTGAGAGTGAGGGTGAGAGTAAGGTTGAGTGAGGGTGAAGGCAAAATTGTGAGAGAAGTTGAGTGAAAATTGGTAATTGCCTATAAGAGTAAGAGGATGGGAAAGGACGGTTGAGAGATTTCCAAATGAGGCAGGAATGATTGATCCATTGGAGCGCCAGCAGGTGAAGAGTGGCCGGGTGTCACAGTATGTGGCCAAGAGATATTCTTCCACTTCATGACATATCATCATGTCAGTCGCCGGGGTGAGCAAGAACGTACGTAGTAAGCGAGTGTCGGAAACTAGAGCTTGGAAATGCGTCTTTCTGATGCGGTTGATTGTGACTTCGCGTGATGCTCCACCATCGGCATATACTGCATGATATCCAAAGCAGTCTTGTCGAAGGTCGACTGCTCCTTCGTCGAAACTGCAAGTCTGTCTGACATTTGATCCCTGGATGAACACTCGGTGACCGGTACAGAGTTGAAAGGCAGTGCTACTGGGTTAACCCCGTCTTGGACGCCTGCTTCCGCAGATACTCGCCGTGCCTGGGCTGCGAGAACATCACCTGGCCCTTCAGCACCAGCGACCTCTCGAGGCCGTCCCGCAAGGCCGCCTCTAGTTCTTGCTTGCACGCGGCTTGGACGAACCCGAAGTGCGGGCGTGGGGCCTGCCCGAACGGCGACGGCAGCGGCGACGACGGCTGGGTCAGGAGTATGCCGGGGTGCTGCGACGTGTATAGCTCAAGCCGCGGCAGGATGGCCTGCAGGGTGGCGGCGCTGCCGCGGTAAGCCGCCGCGGGATCCGGGGCCGCGAGGTCGATCCCCTGCGCCGCGAAGGACCGGATGAGCGAGCCGAGGAGGATACTGTCGCAGCGCCGGCCGGACGTGGGGTCCTGCGGTGATGACTGGCAGCGGTCGCCGTGTTTGAGCGTCGCGTAGAGGCTCGCGTAGGGTTCCAGCATCGTCGTGAGGAGCTTCATGCGCGTCGACGCCGTGTCCTCTGCACACACTCTTTGCCGTCAGATGGAAATGGTACTAACCATGACGTTGGTCTGCCATAAGGGCGGGGATACAACGTACCTAGTAGACCCGGCGGGGCCAGATATTCAATGTTGCGGAGCTTGTATGAGTACGCCTCTCTATGATCGCTGGCGAACCCGAAGACGAGGTCCCCGTCGTCGTCGACGAGGCACTCGTCGGCAATCTTGCGCATCATGATCTCGAACGTCGGCAAATGGCCCAGCTCGTAGGCGACCCCCAACAGCAGCGGGTTCAGCGTGGCCGCCTGGACGAACTCCAGCCACCCTCGCGCCCACGGCCGCGTGGCCCCGGCCGCGTCGTACTTGTTGACGACGACGAGGAACTGGTACAGCCGGGTGAGCTCGAGCTGCTCGGGGACCCTGTCGAAGCGGCCGTGGGCGATGTGGAGCAGCAGCTCCGTCGGTTCCTGGCGATCGTCTGGAAGCTCGACCGTCCAGCGCTTGTACGCGGCGTCCGTGGGCCTCGACTCGGCGAAGCCACCATACAGCATCTTCTCAAAGACCGTCGACACCCGGGCGAGGGACCTGGAGCACACAAGGTAAGTTTTTGCCTTCTTTTCCACGTCCCCGCCGACTTGCAAGTATAGATCACCTAGCGAGTCCAAGACGTCGACCTCATCCGTGCCTCGGGTGGCCGGTTCTTCATCGACGTCCTCGTCCATCATCGCCGTGGTCATGATCTCTTCCGACAGCTACCGACTGGGATGGACCCAGACACCGTCCGCATTTATATCCATCCACTGGGGGTTAGCTGTCGCGAAGAGCAGACCAAAAGGTGGTCAGATTGTGGCCCGTGCACGTCGCAGGATGCTGGGAAACGACTGATCGGAATCCGCCGCTGTTGGAGGAGAGAGCCCTGATGAGAGCCAGATGGGAGGGGAGAATTAGTATATACTAGAACCGAGCCCTCTGAGCTGATAGAGTCTCATCTCAAGATAGTAAAAGACGCCCTGCCCCTGATATTAGACTAGAAAGAAGGACACAGTATGTGAAAAGGGAGTCTCACCGGGCCCGCCGGTTTCGAGGCGCCACGGCCCCATGCTGGACAACATCATGGTGTCCTTCCAGCGGTGGTCGGCACCGTACGGCGCAAAGCACGTCAGAGGTAATATCCCTTTCGACATGGCGGGCCGGTCCTTCCGGATCGCCCAAGCGGCCACGTGCGAGAGACCTGGTTCATCGTCATGCACCCGGTGACGGGCGAGATGTCGGAACTGCCGCGTTCGACCGCCGACGCGCGACGGGGGCGGGAGCAGGCCGGCGAGAGGAGCGGGATGAATAGGAAATATTGTAATAGTCCAAAGTAAGGGGTTATATAGAAACTCGGTTGCTGGGCGGCATATTTGTGGTAGGCCAGATCTAGGGGTAGGCCAGGAGTGGGTGCCTTGACTTATTTCAGCAGTAATCATTACATCTATAAAGTCTTAAACGATGCTTTCAAAGGCTTCAAAAAATTTCTCAATGTGCAATCACACGTAAATGCTACGAGTTAGCAACTCGGGTAACAAAACTATCTTGAACAATGCAGAAAAATACTGCATATATAGTGCTAGGATAACTCCATCATCCGCCACGGTTAACATAGTTCACTCAATGACAATCCGAGTTTGATATCTGCGCATCGCGCAACTTAGCACACACCTGATCACCGGGTTCTTGTCGCACTGCTGGCCGGCTGGGCCCCAGAAACGAATATCCTCAGTAACGATGCGTTAAGCTCGAATGGTTTCTCTCCTTACCGTGATCCCGCCTGGGTAGAAGCAACGGCTCTTACCCAATCAGTACCCATGCGGCCAAAATCGCGACACGGCACTATCAAAGGGCTGCATGTTCGAGATGGCCACAGGCACGTGGCAGCTTCCTTCATGCACACATCAATAGCAAAACAATCAGTTCAGTCAAGTACGCAATTGGGAGTTCTTCGTCTATGGAAACCGTACCCTTGGTGAGACACACCCGCAAACCGATATTGGCATCCATGACCGTCGCAATCTTCGTGCGGTATCGCCCGATGAGTTACAACATCTCGGCCCCGATATACAGGTCTGGACGACATGGGAGTTTCACCTGTACCGCTGCGCGTGGCTTTGGAAGCGGGACGTGCTGGTTGCGAATGGGAATATACCTGGACCTATTGGGGGCAGGCAGCACTGTGTTGATGAGGCTTTGATGAAAGAGGATAGGTTTGCGCTCGGAGATGTCGTCGCGGGATATCGCGTGAGGTTTTTGAGCTGTTCGGCACCGCCTAACTTCGTAGTATATTTAGTATGATTGCGTAGCCAAGATACCACAGGTACTAGGGTCGCGAAGCGATCAAGAATCCAGGCCATACAAATCACGAAGGCTTTTGAGGATGCAGTGGAAGCCTCGAATTTGCGAAAACATGAGAAGTGTGTCTAGTAGGTTCACCGGGTTCATCTGTCTTGTGAGAGCCGCCGCAAGAGAGTGAAGCATGTACAGGTATTGGGTCGAAACCATCTTTGCCTGAGGCTAGCATCAAGAGGTGGCTGGACTAGGCTTGACTTGATGTCCTACTCGGACGTAGTCGTTGCTTTGTTGGTGGGTGGTTCTCATTCGGTGTTACTGGATTTACCAACTGACGATTGAACTTGATCTCATCTTACGAGGTCCGTCGACTCCTGAAGCTGACAAGACATGGGAAGAACTCGGAAAAGTGAGCTCGTCCTCGGATGATCCCAACAAATGCTTGGTCCACATACCACCCTTCATCTCGGGGAGACAACCATAACTGATATTCGTGGGCTAACGCAAGGACTATTGGCTTGATATTCACTTTACCGATATATTCCTTCGAACACTAGTGCCAGAAAAGTAGTGGCTAGCATTAGCTCAGGACGGACAGTCAGGAACATCTCAGCCTACCAGATACATGATTTTGATTTCTATTTGTAGAGAGTCAAGAGATTCCGAGCCCAACTTTGGTTTAGATACCTCTGTACATATGAGGAAAAAAAACGACCATTAAATAAAGTGGTCTGTTCATTAGAAAACCATCAATGCAACTTGTATATGAGGTATGCTGACCAAAACACAGGAACGCTGGCCAGCCGAAAGACCCAGGCCATACTATTCTCCACTTGGAGCGACTTGAGCGCCGCCAAGAGCAGTGCGCATACAAGGGTAGACCCAATCTGAGGCAGAGATATCGCCATGTTATGGAGACCCAGGATCCACGCAACATCACTGTGCGGCTTACTCGCGGATAGCTCCGAGATCTCGCTGCTGATTATAGCGTAAGGGGCCCACATCGTCACGGCCGCTGTGACGCCCATCAAAGCGACAACGACGATGGCCATGGCTCCACTCCGGGCGACCAAGGTAAGGTGCATGCAGTAGCCCAAAAAGCACTGCGAGGCGAGCCACAACTGAGATGGGTTCCGAGTGAGAGCCGGCTTTGCGCAGTCAAATGTCTGAAGGACAACGCTGGAAAAGAAAGCTCCCAAAGCAAAAGCGAATGAAGCAAAAAAGCTGTAGCTTCCCGCGTCCTCGATCAGAGCTGGATCAGGCTGTCTCATCTCTCGGTGTCTATGTTCTAGTTCATTTGAAAGGGCTAAGATGCCGTCAGTTTCGATAGCTTGGAGAAAGTCCACGAACTTACCTGTCTCCAATACGAATCTAGAAATAGTCTTGTTAGTTACCACGAGGTTTTCGTATCATAAGAATATTGAGGTATCGGTTGGCTTACGTTGACATGTAATACAGCACGGGAAACCAGCCCGCCCAAGCGTAGAATTGGATTTCGCAGACCTGTCTACTGCGAGGAGAAAGCTGCCACCATTGCTTGGCCAGTCCAATCGGTGAGATAACAGACCGACATAGTTGCATGAATCCGGGTTGGTGTTCACGAGCGACTGAGTTCCTTTCGTTCGAGATAGAACAACACGAGAGTCCGACAGTGCTAGCTGTACAGGCTGCCACCACTATGGCAAGTATCTTGAATCTGGCGTTGCCCTCGTCCGCAAACAATGACCACTGCGTGTCAACGAAGCCGACAGCTGACAGGAGGACATTCCCTAGCACATTCCATCTCATAGCCCACGAAGCTGCTGCAGATTGCTGGGCGGGAGGGGAGTTGTCCACGATGAGCGCTCTAACTCCGACAGCGTATGCCGTCAGCGCAAGCGTAACAATGATGACCAAAACCGCGGCGAGGATCTGTGTTTGCCAATGATCAGAGTTGTCGGAACTCTCAAGGCTTGAGTACCACATCCAGCTTGTGAGCTCTGAAGAGTTAGCTAGGACCAGAAGGGATATTGTTGCTGCAGCAGAGCCGTAAATGATGAAAGGCTTCCTCTTTCCCCAAGGGTGCTGTGACTGGTCGCTTAGAGCGCCGAGTACTGGCTGCACAAAAGCGCCAAACATCGGACCCGTGATCCATACCAAGGATATCATAAATTTGGGAATACCGAGTGAGATCAAGTAAGGCTATTTGACGTCAAAATGACTGCGGGGAATCTGTGAATGAGTTGGGACGCACTGACCGTGCCGCTTGACGTTAGCAAAAACCAACAAACTTGCAGACCGAGGCTCGGAGACGTGAGTAGCAGCATATCCTTCAGCTCGAGAGTGTTGGGTTCTTGGAGGCAGTGTGCTTCGACGTCCAGCAGCTCCAAGTCGTCGTTGCCCGGTATGCTATCATAAGACAGACGTGAATAAGGGAAAGGGCGATCCATGTCAGGCCTATCTGAAATGTAGTTGAAGGGACAATACCGAGGGAACCATCCACTGTTTGACCGCGCATAGGTAGACATTGGACGTTCAGAAGAAATCTTATAAGGACATTTTTGTTTGCGAGACTCAGCGCAGCGGTGCACGGACTTGAAGTCGCCAGCAGCCCCAAACTCTCCCATGCCATTTGTGCATCTTGCAATGTGAGAGAGATACCTAGGGGTATACTGGGTGGGGCTAGCTCAAATCCCACCGGCGGGCCCCGGGATGTTGAGTTAGTCTTCTTGTGTTAGATGGATTCCCTTGCTGTCCATAGTTTGCGCCAGTATCAGGGATGAAAACTTTGTTCTTCCTCCGCTACCAGTCTTACTCATGTTTCTCTTGTCAAGTAGGAAAGCGGCAGGAGGCATACCGGCTGCCCGGTGAAGATTTCTTCCACACAGGAGGAGGGTCAGGCTGTTGACTCTATGTTTAGTGAAGTACGTTTATTGTCCTACTATATGTGTTTCAGGTAGTAACAACGTCGACATAGTCCTGTGACAAGGACACAGTGTGGCGATACTGTCGATGGGAGAATGTTTTCACTGACATTAAACATCTGTTACGTTAAAGGCATACCGTTAGTTGCGTAGGCAGTAAATAACACTTATATCTCGTTACAAACCCCCCAGGTTTGACCTAGAAAGTCAGATCTGACACACTTTTGTAAAAAAACCTAGTTGGGTACATCTCGCCAATCATAGGTGGTGTAGATTCTCAGACCTTTGTGGAACTTTTGACTAGAGGACCCTTATGGGAATTGAACCTATGGTGTTTAGTGTGTTTGAGCTGTTACTGCACTTAAATTGACACTGTTAACTATTATAGCAACTAGCTAACACTTATATCTAGTGACAACATCTTACCGAAGATATTATGATACTTGAAGAGGCCTTGGACTGTAAAGCAAACCGGGTTGCTCATCGGTGTTAAATACATAGTTGCAGCGTGACTGTGTATAAAGTACAGCTTTAGATATAACGGCAAGACCAAGAAATAATATCCCTGTTGATTCAAAGCACTATGGGCCTTGTGCGAAAGAACCGAATTAACTAGCATAGGCTGCTACAAGTTTACCGAAATCACAAGCAGATTGACAGATACTGCCTGGTTCTGGCAGTTACTGTGCGCTATAACACTGACACTATATTCCTTCTAACGAACTTAGCTGGTCTTTCTATGGTATTCTATGTTATGAATTATGTAACGAAGCTGGACGACCCGCTTTAGAAGAGAGACGTAGGTCTAATGATGCAGAAGGTAGTCCAGATGAAGCCCGCGGGTCTAGATTACGTATTGAATCAAAAAGCGGTATCTTGGTGCGTGGTAGGGCTGATGGATAACTGTACATTGGTTGTGATGGTGGCTATTTAAATGTGCGGGATAATTAGATGTGAGTTAGGTTACCCTCTCACACTACTGAGTGATAACTTGAGCAGAAACAAGCAGGGGCTTTTGCTTTCTACCCCTGTACTGTAAGCCGAATCTCACAAAACTTAACCCCCCAACCCTCCATAGTGTATACCAAATGAGTTCGTAACAACGCAATCTTTCCGAGCATCAGGGTCCTGTATACGTTGTTCCCAGGCTCTCAAAGCACATATTTTGAACTTGTACATCCCCTCATCAGCCCAAGAGCCATTCGACAGCTGCCCACTCCACCCAAAAAAATTCGTGGTCGAGCGGCTAAAGCCTCCAGATTGAGCAGTCTTGTCCAGTGAAAAGACTGAGATACCTTCTTCCTCCGAAGCTGCGGCTGGAAGGACCTCTACGGAAAATGCCCGACTGTACATAGCGAGTTCCACATTTAATGTCGGAAGAAAGGTCGAAGAGTTCTCGTACATCATTGGTGTCTGATGGCCCTGGAGCTGGAATGTCGTGTTTGGCGAGACGGGCACGGCATCATAAGACTCGCCTATGGCTTGTTTCGTAGTGGCCGCGGTGACGAACGTTCGGTTCCACTCCTGAGGCATGACGGATATTTGACGCATTGAGCATCCGATCCCCATGTACGAGACAGTGAGTCCCGCTCCACTTCCGCCGTCGTCCACGTGGATGAACCCGCTGTAGAGGGGACAGCGGGAGCTTAGATCGTCCAGACCCTTGATATCAGCCGTCACCTGAACCAAAGCTGACCTACCTGGTTCGATTCGCAAGGATTGAGGTGATATTGTGATGTTTGCGTATCTTTCCGCCAGCAAATTCTGCAGAAATTCCTCGGAAGCCAACGCAGAGGAGTTATCCCTAGTCCACGGCGTAATGCTCTGGAGATTAGGGGATAGTGCAAGGAAGGTAACAGCTGGCTTGTGAGAAAGTGAGTACGCAATCGACTCATTTCCGTTGTTTTGCACCTCAAAGGATACACTTCCAGTAAAAAACTCGGTGTCGTTCCAAGCCAGATGAGAGGTAGAGAGCGTCGTCGTGGTTCTAAGCGCCCCAAGGGCATTGACGACACCATTGCCCTGTTGTACGACGGGAGCTAGAAATTCGTATGTCTTATTCGTCCCATCATTAAAATTCAGCGGTCGTGCCGTGCTGGTCAGCAACGTCATGATCTCAGAGGAGCTGAAGTCGGGATGAACTTCCTTAACGAGAGCTGCACAACCGGCAATATATGGTGCTGCCATAGACGTGCCGGACAAAGTACCATAGCCACCCCAGCTTCGCGGTAAGGTTGACCATATGCTCTGCCCAGGAGCCAAAAGAGAGGGTAAGTTGTCTCCCAAACCAGTAGGGCCCCATGAACCTCGGGCGTCGACTTGACCCGGGGGGCGGGGATTTCCGCTCACCTTGATGAACGGTAGGTTCTGGAAGTCTGAGTCCATTCTCATTGTGAGATTGGATCCCATAGCCAGAGCATGAATCAGCTCTTGTCCAACTTCTGCAGTGACTGAGCCGGCGCCAAGTATTCCGTCAAACTTATTATCGAACTCGAAGAGGGGCTGGTCCGCGTTATCGTAGATAAGAACGTATCTAGCACCTCTTACTGAGAGATTCTTCATTTTGACGTCGAATGTGCAGCCGCCGCGTCGGACAAGAACCACAGCAGTGTCCGAAAACCACGGAAGGTTTTCTGAGCCTGAGCATGCATCGTCTAGGATGGATGTGTTTAGAGCCGTCGCTTGCAAAGCGAGGCAATCTGGAAATCTGCCTGGAGTCGCAGGAGCCCATGCAAATTCCTTCAACTGCGACACTTCTCCGCTTGCGTTATTGACTAAAAAGCTTGCTCGAGGCCGGCTTTGCACCGAACAAACCGAGTTAACTGACCCTACAACTAAGACGTCCCTAGCTGATGCTGGTGCCATAGCAGAGAAAGGACCTTGCCATCCATAGTTGCCAGATGCCACTACGATGATGACTTTTCCCTCTTGCGAAATCCTGGTAAGGACCTCGGACAAGGGATCTACCATTTCAATAATTAGCATTCCTTCAAGTTGGACGTTTGGTCCATTACGATCATGACGTACCATCAGGGTAAGGGCCTGACTTCAACGTTAGAGAAAGTGATAAAACATCAACTTTCCGACTATGAGCCATAAGGACGGCTCTGATTACAACGTCCGACTGAATAGGGGTCCTCTGGCACCCAGCAATGCGGTAGTGTTCTAGGTTAGCCTCAGGAGCTACACCAACGAACCCTAGAGATGACTGGTTGCCAGCAGCAATGCCTGAAACGTGCGTCCCGTGGCATGTACACTCCGTGTATGGATCTGGACCCTGTTGCGGTACACCTCCTACTTGCCACTCGTCACCAACGAGGTCGACGCCGTACTGGATCTTATGGCCTTCTCCGATCCCGTCGCCAAGGGCAGGGTGACGGTAATCAACGCCTGTATCAACCATGGCTATTGTAAGTCCTCTGCCAGTGATGCCTAAATCGTGCAAGTCCTTCACACCCGTCATGCTGTGCAATGTACTGGCGTTCAACGGTGGACTAGGCGTGTCAACTTCGATTGTTGAATCATTCCATGACGCCGGAGCATAAGTCCGTGGTTGCCAGGCTTTGACGAACCCGCTGATAGATTCGAAGCAATGGGTGTAGTCGTCTGGGCCGTTGGCATTTTCAATGTCTAGCGAGAATCCAGGAAATATTTCACTGTCAAATTGATGCCGGAAATGCAAACTTGAGTTCTGGAAACAAGACGTGTTGCCTGAAATCGATTCCTTGACCCGATTGATGGTCTGCAGAAAGCGTTAGCCAATAATGATCTAGTGATTGACCTTTGTATTTCGTCGCACCTCAACGCTTGACACTTCCACAATATACTGCCGGAACGACAAGACACCTAGATAGAATGTCGAAGATAAAAAACACAGGTGGGGCCGCATCCTGTCAGCTCCGATTTTGGTTTATTTGCTGTAAAACCGGCTGAGTTTATCGAAGGAGCTATTTACAACTACTTTCGCGTTTCCAATGGTAAGTCCTCCAGAATGAATCCATTCTCACCGCAGCATCCAGAAAGGGCGGATTTGCATAAAAGTCCCTGTGTCTGGGAGTCCGAAGGTTTGCCGTCCACTAAAACCTTGCCTACTGGTAGTAAAGCTTCAACGGGAATTTGATGCCCCAAGGTTTTTACCTACTCGCTGACCGTGTTGACTCAACAAGCTTTCGGCGTTATATGTTATATGGTAATCGGCGGAGTAAATAGACAGCCTGGTATTGTTCTCTCGCTCACCTGAGGTAATCCCGAGCTTTGCTCCTGACAGTGAATACGTGCTTCTTACCTATAACTAATCAATCAGAAACCCTGCCAACGACGGGCTTCTCTAGAAGACACTCACTTATGTCCCCTCTATATCAGCTGTACCTGATTGAAAGTTATCTGGACCCCCGGCAAAGAGGTCCTCAAGGGACGAACGAAATACATACCCCCCCCCTTGCCAAAGAAACTATCACTTTCGCTTGCACCTACGTAAGTGGGTGTCTCTTGCTGCTCCCAAGTAAGTGGAGGCGCGGCACGAGCACCCACCCATTTTACGCATCGTTCAAAGAAGATTGACCATTACTAGTCTCGCATTCTGTTTCATTCATTCGGCAAGTTTCTAGTGTCTGAGTCGGCGCCGATATTTCAACCTGATGCTTTACACTATCAACCCCCAGCGCCACCGCCATTTTATAAAGGCGTAAATCTTTTTAGTTCTGAACAATCTATTGTCATATGTCCTCCACGCGATAAGTATAAGTTCCGTCATCGATAACTGCGAGTACGCTCAACAGACTGTTTTGTGAGTCCTCTCCGTCGTTTACCACAAAACTGGTTCTGTACGGGGTCTCAGGTCTCAAGAAGCGAAATTTACTGAATGATTCGTAGTTCAATCGCAGTCTGAATACTCGAAGCTAGACGTGCAACCATGAAGTGGTTTTACAACTCAACAAATAGACACCTTTATTCTGCGGTCTCCAATCCTGCAGCACCCAGAGACGACAAAGAACTTGCATCACGTCGGCGATACGCCTCAAAAAGCACAATATGGGCTTTCGTGGTGGGACTTATATGGTTCGCCTCTCTCGCCGCTGTCTTCGAGTACAGTAAAAGCCCACTGTATAACTATGACGCAGCCGACTACCGCACCAAGCAGTGCGGTAAAACGGCAGCGGAAGCCAGAGCCCGTGGCTGCCACTTTGATCCCGTCAGTTTCGCGTGGCTGCCGGAAAGATGCCTGGATCAAGAGCTGGCAGAGGAGTTCCGCGCTTTGAACTGGACTCTGTACGCAGATGCTCACGCCACGAAAGTCAAGACAGAGAAGGAATTCTCCGATGATTTAACGGATACGTTTCTGACGAACGAGAACCACATGCTTCACTGCGTTTACTCGTGGAGGCGGCTGCACCGATTGATACAGGCTGGCAAGCCGCTACACTCGGGTTTGAGCTATGATCATACCAAGCATTGCGGGTCGGTTCTCACGAGTCATAGACCGCCGGAGGAAATCATTACCAAGGCTCTTGTAATCTATCCTGCATGTTGAGAGTGACTTGCTAGACTAGTACACAGGTCAATGTCTAATCGATTCCTCGTATTCTGGGCACAAGCCTTGGTCAGAGAGTAGTTAGAGTCGCTGTTCCTATCATTGAAGCACACTTTATTCATAACCAGGTAGATGGACAGCAATCCGATTGCAAGTCTCCGACGAAAGGTCCGACGAAGACAAAGTGGTAAGAGCGACTAAGTGACGTCCACGTAATAGTCACATAAGACCAAAATACATGACGCATTCAAGTGACCTGTATCTGATTAGACTCAGACTCGGTCCAATCTTACCAGGAGTATGATGCAGTCGATTGAAGTTTATTGTCCGAAAATCACTCGAAACAACTGGGCGGTTAACATACACCCAAAGTACGGGACCAGACCAGTAATTACCCACTAGAGTACCAACTGACCCACTCTAAACTCATTCCATAGAGTCATTATCCCCCGGCCTAACTTTGAATCCTCTCAAGTTGAAGTTCATAGATGATATAATAATTACGATTTATTAAAACCCACAGCACCTCTACTCGTTATTTTCCCCATATGATTAAAGTTCTCTAACATGTTGATTAGTGCTCTTAGATTTCAAATACATTAAGAATTAACAGAGATATACCTGTGTTCCCTCTGTTTTGTAGAAAGGGCTAGCCGATGGTCTGTGTAGGGTGTAAGCGAGAGACTTAGGGAGTAAGTGGGTTAGTACTTTGCTGATCTGAATTTGGTCCTACATTTTGTGTGCCTGATAACCGCTGCCAATTGCGTGATTCAAAGCTCCTACGTCGGCGTTTTTAGTACAAAAATGGGTACCGCAGGCCAAGGTATGACCAAACGAATCCTCCGGGTCAATAGGGTAGCTCATGCATAGTATAGAGTATCTACTATATTGGCACTCGATGAGGTGAGCAGCCTGGGTGATCCTGGGAGGTCAATCCTATACCCTGGCGCAAAGCTTGTGAAATGACATGGAACGAGTGGTGAGCCCTATTGTACTTTTAAATTAGCAATGGCGCCTCTTGGTGGTAGGATTGGAGCGTAATTTCCCTCTTCCAAGATGAGGTATGAGAACCTTTCATGCCATCAATGATCACGGCCACAGCTACGATGGAAAGAAGACACTCGGTCGAGTCGCAGCCGCTGGTGGGGTTCAATACAGACTTTTCAGGCGTCGCAAAGCCTCCGAATGACCAGCCCAAGAGCAGAAACCGACGGTGGCAGATCCAGCTAGGTGTAGCTATCGGCATTGCCCTTGGTTATTTACTTAATATTTCATCATCCCCAATGAATAAGGAGCACGGGGGCTTAACGCCAATATCAACTGGGTTCCCAGTTGCCTCCGAGATCAATGCTCTTGTCCCTGAATGTTTGTCAAAAAGCTTCCTTCCCCTTATACGAAACAGATAGATAATCATTTATCGCTAGTTCCATTACAAAAGACGACTTTCTCAAATTTAACCGTCTCATGGCCATCTCCACAAAGATGGCTTCATGGCGCGGTGCCAGAGAGTGAATGGCACCATCTTATACATAGTCTCCATTCTTTGATTCCTCGTACGTGGCCTATTCCAGTTTCTCAAGAGTACGCTGACAAACTTGGTTCGCAAAGACGGTGGCGGCTTTCTGAAGGTCGATGACCCTCAGCTTTCCCTCCTGCCGCCACCATTAATCATCGAATGGCCAGAAAAGCCGACAGTCTACAGTATTTCTGTATTTCATCAGCTTCATTGTTTTGTAATGCAACTTTTGATTTATCGGCCGATTCTGTAACCCTCATACTAACGCAGTGCCTGCAGACGTCAATTCTCAACGATTTCAATAGGATCCAGAGCGGCCAACTCCCGAAACAACCTATGCGACACCTACTGCACTGTTTTGACTTTATTAGGCAGGAAATCTTATGCTGTGGTGATTCCACGAGGGAACCTCACCTGCAGGCTGGAATGGAAACTGCGCGAGTTTGTAAAAGCTTCAATGACTTGTTGAAGTTTGCAGATGAGAATGCTCCGAAGAGGGCATAGAATATAACAATATTTATCTATAGGGCACTTACCTAGTCAGCAGAACTACTCTATGCATAATAACCTCAGCCGCACCCAATTAGCAGACCAAGTACACAGAGCCCGCCAAGCTAGGGAAAAGAAATAAGAGACTACAGACTAGAGGGGTATTATCAGTACGTAATGGGCGGAAAATAGTGGCCCGGCAGCGACTTAACCCTATCTCACAAGCCAGAGCAGTGGTAAAGTCAGCTAACAAAAAGGACCACAAGGTCATAGAAAAGGTGTATGCTATTATAGCAGCAAAAGAGGCAAGGAAGTCGTATATAGCATACAAGTTGCCCCCAGCCACTACATACAAGACTAAACAAACCGTTGCGTCGCCTACGGCAATAATAATAGTCTAAATAGCATCAAAGTGTTCATATAGGCGGTGTGTACATATGGCCAGTGACCAAAACCCAAGTCACGGGTGCCGGGCACAAGTATGTGTAAACAGAACATTTATGGGAGTTTGCCTCAAGAGTCACACACCCCAACCGAAGCGCTGCACTCGCTAGCAACTCGCCCTTCTCGAAGTTAAATACTGATACTTTAGCGTATCTTCTACCGCCGAATCATGGCTTTGGATACATCCTTGCAAGGTCGCATCTCGAGGCAGAACTCTATTGATCTGCATCTTCCGTAAGAAACGAGTTACAATCCATCATTCCATCACCTAGAAGCGCGTGGTATAAATTTATCGCGTGTCGCCGCAGTCTACATGACAATTCAGATCAGATTCTGCATATCCAATGGGTCTGCGTTGTATGAGCACTCGTTCAGCGCTCCATCTACGCCAACCATGTTTCTCTTTATAGGCGCACTAGTCACTTCATTATCAGCCTCTATCGCCATACCTAAACTGGTGATGATGCCAAGTGTCATGACTTCAGGCATCAATCGTGCTGACCTCAATTTGACGGATGACCAGAATGACAAAACATCATGTTAGTGTCTCTCTCAGGCCTCCGACGACCAAACAAATCTCGAATTCACGCAACTTTACGTTTTACTCACAACAGACCTTTCCTTTACAGATTCGAAGCAGGTCCGTATATTCTGGAACGAGTCATGGACCAACCCATTAGCACAGAACTTCGACGAGCTCGACAAAGATGCCATTCGAAGGAACTGGCTGAGACTATTTCCTTGTATGTTGAAATCGATTTGCCGACTTGACGCTACTCATGCTAATTCTGCACCCTATTCCAAGCGGACTGGTCAGGCATAGCAGTACAAGCTGTCAGTTCTGTGAATACTTCTGCTCCCGCAACGCAAATGTCAATGTTTCACCAGCTAGACTGTCTAGTAGGTTGCCCATGACACTTGTTTGACCCGCTTCCGTTTCGCTTTGTCCCATTCTCGCTAACTACCGGGCTTCAGCTTTCGATTCTAGACGTCTTTCTCGATTTCAACAGCCATAAGGTGAAACCGACTGTGTATACGTTGGAATGCTTTAGCTACCTTCACTCTACCTTACTCTGCTGTAGTGATACCGCCCTAGAGGGCAGTGATATCTACGCAGAAGCAGATGGCAGAAACGGTACGCTAGGTATTGGCTCGGCGCATGTTTGCAAGTCGTTCAACTGGTTGGGAAATTACGATCGGAGCCACGCCGAAGAGGGTGCCCCTGTTTAGGTGCTACTACCCAACAAACACTCCATAGCAAGGTTCAACTTTGACTTTGAGAACGGCTTAATTACCTAAATAAACTTTACTTCTGCGTGCTACCCTGCGCGGTTTATTGATGCCGACTTACTCCCTACCAAGTGTAAAACAGCACCAGGAAAAAGAATTTCATTCCAGAGTCATTGCTAAAATGCATTGAAAGACGCGCGATTTTAATGAGTTACAAAAGCGGCTTGTAGTAAATAATTAGACTGATCTCAAGAACATCCATCTACCGCCCTTCGGATACTGATCTTGAGTTAGCTACCACTTCCCTTACACTTTATTCATCTTGAACTCGGGGACAGCGGGCGCTTCGTTCTCTTAGCCGAAAAGCCGTTCATGCCATCGCGGATACATCGGCTGTTTGGAAGCGGGATGCAGCCCGTTTATGTGCAACGACAGACGCGACCCAGCCAAGAACACGACAGAGAAAATGACTTCGACTGTCTTCTCTCGGGTCCGACCTCAGACAAGTCATTTCAGGAGAATCTACCTTCTAGCCCTGACTTCGGAGCCCGCCGCACTCTACATATTGGATGGAAAATTCTCAAGATATTTCTAATCCTGGCGATTGCCTTCTATATTGTTCTGCACTTGTCCTTTATTGAGAAGTTGGTCGAAACGAACAAGGCAGAGTTTACCGAGCATCGCATCGACTGCGGACACAACACAGCCAGCGCTAAGGCGGCAGGCTGCGTGTACGACATCATGATGGTAGGCTGGACAGCACCCGACTGCATCGATCCCTATGTTTCATCAGACTCTCTCTCGGAGACCTCCGAGCTTGCCAGCGTTCGGGGTGCCGGGCACTTCAACTTCTCTGTGACTCCCGACTTCACAGAGATTATACAGCAAGATGTAGACAGTCTCACTCAGCACGACTGGGTTTACGCGAATTGGGAGTTTCATAAGGCACACTGCGCGTATGTGTGGCGCGTTCTCGCCAATGCGCTCGAACGCAAGCGGAATGGGGATACGAATGTTTATATCTACAGAACGCTAGTCACTTACGAGCACGCGGTGCATTGCAGCCGCGTACTGCTTGGGACAGACAGGAGCTTGGCTGCACCGACAAAGATACAGGTTAGCGGAACTAACCGATGTGTGCTGTTATGATCGACATATGCAATAAATGATCTGAAACTCGAAAATCCCGTGTATTTTAATAATGCTCTTGAAGCGATTGTCGCTTTAATGTATCAAGAACATTGTCAGCTACTCCTTTCATATGGAATTACAAGCGTATGTATTAGCTCAACATACATATTTCTAGCTAGCCGGCAATGCGGCTTGGGTACACTAGTTTTGTTCTCGTATCATTCAGTTCAGCATTCAACATAAACATCTGTCCACAGTGCTTAATATGATCCTCCATATCTCTCCTGAACGACATAATTGTTCCAAGGAAGTATTGGTGAAGCTGTTTCCTCCATTCAAATATATAATGCGTTATGTGTTGCTCGTGTGTGAATCTGACTGTCCTCCCTGGTTCAACTAAGGTTGGGAGCATGCTGACGTTGACAGCCGTTTATCTTGCCGTTAATATATGTCTCATAGTACCACGATCCATCGCTCCACGATCCATCGCTCCCTGGCCCGGCGCGTGCGAATTCCTGGGTGAGATCGTGATCTACGCATTCCGGGCGCATCCATCCAAGTTCTAGGTTTACAGAAAAAAGTGCACACTATAAGCACATAGGTAGATTAAATGCCCCAGCGACTTAAAGAGACTATCAGAAGAAAGGCTTAAATGACACCAAACTAATAATAACGTTATAAGCATCTAAATACGCTTATATATTAATGCTTAGATTCTTATGGTTCTATTTATAGGGGTAGGGAAAGGAAGCATTCGGTGTAGATAGGCTAAAGTGTGCACTTTCTTTTGCAAATCGGGTGGCTGGTTAATTCCTACATGTCTTCTATTAGTATTGTGTTTATTAGACTTCTATTAATATTGTGTTGAGTATTGGGCATGGTACTCGTGCTGTGTTTTCTGACTGTGTAGAAGTCTTATTGTGTACCTGCACAAACTTAAAACGGACCGCCTTTTAAATGTACCTCGGGATCGTTTTGTGTAGAGTCTTAGTATCCGTACGCCCCCCTAGTTACTAATAACCGAGTGTTCTATTGTAAAATTCCAAGGCGCGAATACGACTCATGGCTGCATGGGTAATCATAACTTCCCCACCAGGTAGCGTCAGTTCAAGGCTCCCAGGACCGGAGACTTTCAACAGTCAGAGTTCTGGTTGACAAGTACACCGAACTCGGTCTACCCGATGCTAGGGTAACCACGAAGGGACGGTCACAGATACCTGGCGAGGAGATTGAACTTAGACCTACTATAGTATGTGGGTCATTAGGGTACTATGTGGCTAGTTGCATGTCTGCAATGGAAACCACTCTCTTCTCGCTAAGAGTCAGGAAGACTGTACATGAAGACTAGCTGGCTTTAGGGCACTATGTTGATAGTTGCATGTCTGCAATGGAAATGTCAGAGGCTGTGATAGTATCGAGTACCGGAGTCAACGATCGGCGCAGTTCGGGTTCAATTGTGACGATTATTCCTATCTGCCCTTCCCTCCCCTAGGATTCCTGCAGATTTCTCCTTTCACGTGCCCTTCGGTCAATAGTCTATGTATCCGTGTCCGGCCCCACCCCGGTGCCCCCGGCACCCCGTCGCGGCGCCTGACAGGAAACCACTCTTCGCTCGTTAAGAGTCAGAAAGACTGCACATGAAAACGAGCTGGCTCTTACACGTGTCAGGAAGGTCCTTTAATATAAATAAGATGCAAGTTCTCAACTGGGCCGACTGCTTTTCTTTCCTATACCATCATTTTATTCCAATCAACTCATCCAGCAATTCACTTCAATAAGTAAGGAACGTAACGCAGCTGAAGCCTGAGCCTACAGCACACCAGTGTCAACCATGAAGCTTCTCTCAATTATAACGTTGTTTTCTGTCTTAGCAGTCACTGCTCCTACGGCCAGGGAACTAAGCGCTTCTGTGAGTTCATGATGTCTTGAAATTCTGGGATGGCCTCTGAATACCTTACTAATTTGGTTTACGTAACAGGTCGAAAAGCGTGAAGTCGGAGAGGTTTCTACAGACTACATCTTTACCGACGATCCTTCTGAGGGTAGCAAGACTGGCCAGAAGAAGCGTGAAGTCGGAGAGGTTTCTACAGACTACATCTTTACCGACGACCCTTCTGATGGTAGCAAGACTAGCCAGAAGAAGCGTTAATTCGGAGAGGTTTCTACAGACTATTACATCTTTACCGATGATCCTTCTAAGAATGGCAAGACTAGACATCAAGAACACCAAGCTAGACACCTAAATAGAGCTACCTGCTTGTCTGTCTAATATCACTAAACTTGCTAATAGTACATAGCACCAAGGCACAGGAATCACATTCGTGGCAGTCGATAGTTTTGAGATCTCGTTATGTGAATTGACGTTAACATAATTACCTGCCCTCTTTCCCTCAACGGCTGTTCTCTTTCCCGCGGCGATTGCTCCAACTAAGCAACCATTACCTTCGATGTACGGATATTGGCCCATATGTTCAAGTTAAGTGCGCTATGTGTAACGGCATTGGGGGGACTTGCCTCAATACCGCGTACTGATTACCGTTAACCCCGTCATGGTGACGCTACCGCAGCAGCTCTGGAAAATTTTCAGAGGCATAGCGGTTGTCGGCAAAATCAGCTGTGCTTCCAGGATTTATGGGCAGTTATTCTCATGAATATTCAGGCCACATGCGAACTTTATATTGCCTTCTAGGCAGGTAATAGCCACAAGAGGTCACTTTCGGCATGGGGAGTAACTAATCCGCGGCGTTTTCATGGGGTCCAACACTAATTTTGAACTTTAAAGAGGAGTAGAATTACACTTAGGTGCACCCACGGCCCTGGGATAAAGGAGTGATAATACCGCGGATGATCCGACTAGTGTTCTCCTAAACCTTGCTCGTCTCTAACATTAAGAATAGCATAATGATGAGAACGCGTCGTTATATAATCAATTGGTTGGGGGGCTTTGAAGTCTGCAAGCTAGAAACCAGTGAGAAGGTGGTATTTTGTCGATGCACACGTTCCTGCGTGGCGCATATGTATGGTCGGTTGAGGTAGGCCCTTTGACCGATGCACCTTGAGAGGACACTGGGAACGGAGCCGGTTGCTACGCGTTTGATTATCACTTGAAGATGGCGAATCCACCAAGAAGGAGACCGTCCCTTGGTGATTTAATTATTTAGTGGCGCTGGTGAGTGATTAGAGGAAGGGTGAGGATGGACGTCTTAGTTTACACTAAGTTAGCAAAACCTCCAAGCAAGAAACAGGTCAGCATTTAGGGGCGCCTGAATTTCCTGTCACTGCTTTGATTCTTCTTGCTTGCGACTATACCTGCCTGTTGGTTGTCACCCCACCAATTGCAGCACTTCATCCCATCTCAATCATCCCGTTCCATCTTATCCTGCCATGCGAAACGAAATGCATGCATGCACAGTACGCACGCACAGAACCGTACACCTGGAACTCGTGGCCCGAGACGGTTGTCTGGTCACTCGGCCAATCTGGTCACTGGGTACAGAAGAAGAACCTTCAACATGATGGATGTCATTTCGCTCAAGAACTTTGCAGCAAGGTTGTATTCGAGTGACTCGGCGTTGAAGGTGATGGAGAGAGACGTGGAGCCCCCCCATCTTCCCATACGGACCATTCTGAGACTGGTTAGCATCTCAGGGGTGTTGGGATCCAATTGCTTACACATTGTGACTTTGCATGTTGACGTGCGACTGGCAGTTATCAACGGACATGATCAGTTTGCCAGCCTGCGTGCAAATCTGTGACGGAAGGTATTTATCCACGATACTGTCGCTGACAAAGAGCTTGACAACCCCTATTAGCAACCCGCGCTCAGGAAGTCGTTGGGTAATTAGAAGTGGGACAAACCGGAAATCGAGTGGAGGGGAGGGAAGCCGGCTCGCTGGGAGGGCTGAACCGCGTTAGTTGATAAGATGAACGGGCTCAAGTGTTGTAAGTGTTGCTTACGATTCAAGCTCGCTTGCGAGCATATTCCATCTGTCTTGGGCAATGGCGAAATGGGAGCCATTGTCCAGGAATTGACTATAGGCTTGCTTGATGTGGCGGCAGAGTCTCTCGATGTTGCCTCTTACCGCCTCCTTGTCCTCCTCGTCGACAACCTACTGGCTGAGGGGCGCAAAGTCAACAAAAGCAGTAGCGAGACACGAGCCATAGCGGCGGTAATCGTCCTTGCCCTTCAGATACCGTCGGCCGTTTATAAGCATTGGCGAGACCACTGCGGCCGAATCGGGGAAGTCTGGTGGCATGGGGCTGACGCGTAGCAAGGCGAGAAGCATGGCGGCATGACCAAGATGAGTCAGAGTGTAGTCCGGACCGAAAAGGTGCTTCATGACCAGCTTTAGGGTGTGGCTTTGGGGTATGCTGATGCTGCGTCGAATTATTTGAGATTTGCCTCGGGAACTATTTACCGGAAGTCCCCAGCCAGACTATGAAGAGTCAATGTGAGGTGCCAAAGCAAAAGGGAAGCGGGAACATGGGCAACTCACTGTGCCTTGTTTTAGCTTCCTTATGTACTTGTCCCGTTCCCTTGCAAATTCATGTCCGATTTCAGAGACGTCAGCACCGCATGCTTCAAGAATAGAACTGGCCAGGTTGTCGGTCTCAGTGCCCCAATCGTACTGACGGAGAGTTTCGAGGCCAGGTGCTCCAGCAGACCACAGATCTCCGATGCAGCGCAGTAGGTCTCCTACGAAGGTGTGGGAGCTGACGCCATCCCAAAGAACAGGGTGGAATACAAAGACGAGCATCACATGAGAACCGACTTCAAGCTCGGCTTCCTCATGCTGTGTGCCTAGGACAGAGAAGATCTTGACCGAGGAAAGCGGCGGAATGTCCTTCTTACTGACCTTGAACGTTGAAGAATGCTTGAGTCCGTTAAGAGGCGGCTTGGCCCGATGGATTATTCGGCTGGCCCAGGCGGCAACATCAGTAGCGTCTTTTGCCAGGGTGTAAACGACTTCGGGTGGACAGCCTGGATAGTCGTATTTATGCAGCCTGAGGGCTCTACATGCGACTTCCGGGTGGTGGAAGCGGAGGTGAACGAGGGCCCTTGAAATTCGATACTCCAGATCGACCAAAGAGATGCCAGTCGACCAGATACAGAGGGTCGTGGTGATATGGATGGTGCCATCGGTGCCGAGCAGGTACCCCCTGCGTCCGAACCAGGCCTCGGCGCCGAAGGCTGTACGGATCCAGGACCTGGCGAGATCTTTCGCGTTCGCCAGACGCCATCGATAATCATGCGACCGAAAGGATGTTGGTGGGAGTGCCGCGGCTGAAGAAGACGTGGACATGTTTACAAGTAAGTGGTGGAGGGTGCAACGAGGAGAATCGGTAAGCTTTTTCTGAAGTATGATAACAGAAACCGGTGATGGATCGTATGCGGATTTGGCTAATCTGGTACACTGGTAGCTAAGGATTGGGCCGGTTCGCCGTGATGATGTGTTGTTGCGTGGTGTTGAAGCAGTGGAATTGCCGGATGACGTGACGTTCATAGGAGGCGCGTGCCTGTGTCTTTTAAGGAAGGAAGGAAGGAAGACACTTGGACTCACGCCGTCGTACCTGCCTCACAGATCGCGGGTCACGGGATCTAGACTTTGACGTCCATCACGGCAGGTGCATCGTGTTGGCACCTGCATTTATTGATTCACTTTATTAGGTAAGACGGGAAGAAGCCTCTCGCGACCACATCGCGCCCTCGACCGCTTGTGTCTTGAACCCGTCTTGCTTCCGAGTACATGGTTGAGATTCCAGTTGATCTTCCGAGCTTTTGCAAATTCAACATATTGCGCCAGATGATTGGTTCATAGAACCATCTCTTATCCAACATGACTTTAATGTCCAAACTCCCGGAACGCAAACATACACCACTAACTGATGCGAAGTGTTTCATGGCGACAGCCACTAACATCAGAAGCAAAATCAACCCTATGCGGAACCATTTCATGTCTTCGTCCCAATTCCGTTGTCGTACGCCGAGCGTACCTGTATCATGTTCCTGGAGATAGCCTCTTTGGGCGATACGTTGTGTTTTGTTGGTAGGCCTGCGCCTAGACCTAGACAAGGAACCTAGCCTATATCCATTATTACCTGCTGAAAGCACAGATGTTGGACATTGAAGTATTTGGGTTCCATCATAGTCCGAGTTCAGGTTAATACGTCGAGTTTTCATGGGTTCATGAATAGCTTGACGACGGCCCTAAGATCGTCTTTGGCAAATCTTCAAGTTCCCCGAAGGTCGCAGCCCATTCGTCGAACACGTCGTGCGACAACTTACAGACTTCCTCGTCAGTCCATTTTCGACCAGTGCGGGTATAGGGCACGGCCTGTTCGTCCTTTTGGCGATAGGCCAAGGCCTGGTATGGCGGAGTATCTATCGAGAGGTGTTATTAAAAACCCAATGTCAAAGCAGGCAACCTCAGATTAATTGTGGAATCCTACCTCCGAGTCCATCAACGTTGCTTTCCCGCCTCATTCTCTCCTCAACCCTCTTGGACAAGTAACAGGCCACATCCTCTGCCAGGCAGTCGGACGCAAATGGTAGGTCCCAGGCCTGTAGGAAGAAACCGTTTCCTCTCCATACCAATTCACATGTAGTCAAATCGCTTTTAGCAGCGCAGGCTTCGCTAAGTGTACCCATTCCTATCAGACCTGGCAGCTGATTGAGGGCTTTTGAGTCGGTGGACTTGGCGACTTCTCTCCACGCGAAGGGGTGCCAGGTTGATGGGAATTCTCCTTGATCTCAGTTAGCATACGTCGCGGCTTGGGATGTTCTAGTATCAACCCTAGACCTGGTCCTGATCCGTGTTCCCACGGATACAAAGAGTATTTCGATGTAGATCTGTCCAAGAATTCATGCAGCTCGTCGGGATGTATCGAGGTCTTCCAGAGGATCCGGGCACTGAGCATGTCGATGTTAGCAGCTGAACAGTAAAACGCGAGGCTCGCTCCAAACCCAACTTGGAAACAATACTGACCTAATAAAGTAGCCGTCAAGCTCCCAACCATGCACTGCCCCCTGATCCCTCAGGTACCTGTAAACCTGCTCTCTCTGGCCCATCCTCTCCTGGCGATCAAACGCACTCATGTCCGGGAGATCTGTGTCCTTGCCACCCCATGTGGCTTCCCGGCTTGTTGACGCAAACTCGGCCATAGCGAAGCCGGGTTTAGAGCAGTCCAACATGCTAGGCATCGGATGGTCCTGCGGCATCGCATTATGGAGATGCATATGATTGTACGGGAACTTCCTGCCAGGATGTCGGAGCTTGACATGCTCCTCCATGAGCTGGATGATCTCGAGATAAACCGTACGATGCAGCGCGGTGGGTGACGGGGAGGATGTGATGGTAGCCTTGGGTCAGGTTTTCCATGTCTGGGTAGGCGTTGAGCAGAAGCTGGAAGACGTCAAGACCTTTTGTTGCCACGGCTAAATGGTAGGCCACTGTTAGTATGATCATGATGTTAAAGCATGCGAGCTCTGTCCCTAACTTACAAAGACGAGACACGGCTACCGCTACAATAAACAAGTTCACCCCGCTCGGCATCATAAACTGTGGCAAAGGCTGCAGCGAAACCAGGTATCGAAGCTGCGCCAGCTTATCATACCCATACCAAGAGACCGACTGGAGGAGCGCCCCCATCAGCGTCGTAGTGTCTGGCGGTATCGTCTGGATGGAGTCATGATTCAGGCCATATTGCACCCGCAGCCCCTCAGCGAGAGCAGTGTCCTGGGACCTCCCATGCATTAGGATGTAGTCGAATACGCCCGCAGTCTCCACCTGTGGTGTCTGCAGTATCTGCTTCATGGTCTTGCCGCCCCTCTGTGCAGCTGGCAGGCTCGCTAGGTGCTTCAAGGCTGCAGGCAGCATTTCTGGAATCTCTTTAACCAACCAGGTGAGGATAGTGTCGCCAAAGGCAGTAGCGGGCTACAGTAGGGATGTCCTATAGCAGATAAGGATGTCTACTATTAGAGGCAGGGATAGTATTAAGTAAAGGAGTTAGTAATAGGCGTAGTTAGGGTTTAATTATAACAATTATTCTAATATACCTCCTCTAACCCTTATCTTCTATAGAGTTTTCCCTTTTTATTATTCCTTTAGTAACTAGTTTATTTAGTCCTAGTCCTACTCTAGTGCCCCCCTAAGGCCCTGCTTTAGGCACCTAATATAATCCCCCCCCTCTAAGGTCCTGCCTTTAAGACCTTAAGTAGGCTATCTGCTAGTAGGCCCCCTATTAGCTACTTAGACTATTTAATAGCTAAGCCTTATACCTAACTCCTAATCTCTTAGGGCCTTAAGCTAGCTACTTACTAGTAGTCTTTTTATTAGCTACTTAGACTATTTAATAGTTAAGCCTTATACCTTATACTTATCTTTTAGTATCTTAAGAGATATCTAAGAATACTTATTAGGCCTAGTAAGCTACTAAATAAGTAGTTATTTCTTTAGCTAACTATTTACTTTTAGCTTTATTTTTATATTATTATATTTTAGCTAGGCCCTAACTACTACCTCTTTAATATAGTTTAGTCTTTTAGCTTAAAGTATAAGTCTTATATTACTTTACTTAATAAGGGACTACTTACTTTATAATAAGGACACTTTATTTACTTATAATACTTTTTAATACTTTTTATTAACTAGGCCTTATAGTACTTTTTTAAGTACTATATACTTTTTATTATTTTTATTATTATAATATTTAGCTTTTTTATTAACTATTTATTAAGCCTTAAGTTATATTACTTTTATAATAAAAAAAAATCCTTATTTTACTTTTTATAATTAGTATTAGTAACTTTTTAGTCTTAGTTAGCTTTTCTTACTAAGGCTTATTTAGTTTTAACTTTATAAGCTTAAGTTATTATTATAACTAGCCTTTTTTTTAATACTAACTTAAAATAAGTAATTTAAATTAACTTAGGTTTTTATTAATTTCTTTATTACTTATTTTTTTTTTTTTTTATAATACTTTTATATTATTATTATTTTTTTTTTACTACTATTATTACTATTACTACTTAGTAGTAATAGTAATAGTAATAGTATTAGTAATAGTACTAGTACTACTAGCTTTCTTACTACTACTATTATATTTACTATTATACTTACTAATACTACTACTACTACTAATACTACTACTTTTACTACTTCTAAAGGTACTAAGGGCCTTATTATTACCTCTTTACTACCCCCTTAGTCTATTAGCTTTTTAAATAAAAAAAATAAAAATAACTATACTATAGTTTATTTTATTTTATACTACTACTACTTTTAGGCTATATCTATTTAGTATATAAATATAGCTAATACTAAAGCTAAGTTTTTTTACTACCTTAAGACTACTAGTAAGTATTTAATACTTTAATACCTCTTAAGGGCTTTTTTTTACTTATATTTTAGTCTTAATTATACTATTAGCTACTAGTAATAAGTACTTTTAGTATACTAAGATATATAATAAAAAGTATATTTATATAAGTATTCTTATATTATTATCCTCTTTTTACTAATAAGAAGTACTTTAGTAACTCCTTACTAACTTTTTATAAGCTACTTATATTATAACCTTTACTACTTTTACTTTTAAAAATATCTTTAAGGCCTTTTACTATAATAATACTATATATACTAATTACTACTACTATAAGGTATATCTCTCTTAGTACTTTATAACTACCCCCTAACTAACTCCTTATATAAAAAGAGATTACTACTACTTAGACTATAATTAAAAAAGCCTTTTAAAAAAAAGTAAATACTACTAAGGCCCCTAACGCTAAGTATAAAGCTAAGGCTAAAAAGAAAAAGTAGCTCCTTTATAGCTATAAGGTTATAGCCCTTAAGGCCTTTACTACTACTACTACCTTTTTAGCTAAGTTAGCTAAGGTAGCTACTATAGCACTTTAGTACTAAAACATACTTCTTAAGAAGTAGACTAAGGCTATTAAGGCTTAAGGTGCCCTCTTTTTTAAGTAGGCTACTACTTACTTTTAGGTTATATATTATTATTTTTTTTTAGTAACTTTTTACTACTTTTTAGTTACTAACTTTTATTTTAGTACTTTACTAACCTTAACTTTTAGTTTAAAGGTAATATAGCCTTTAATGCGCCTAGTAGAGGTAAAAATAAAGAGGAAAAGTAGGCGCTACTACCCCCTTAGTGCCTCCCCCCCTTAGGCCTTTATTTAGTTTTATTTTTTTTTTCTAGCTACTATAGGCTTTAAATACTTAGCCTTTAGGCTATATACTTTCTAGCCTTAGTAGTAAAGAATAATAAAAAAATCTAGCCCCTTAAGCTAAGTACTTATTTCTACTTAGTGTCCTTTTTATACCCCCCTAGTAACCTCTTACTTATAGTCTTACTATAAATCCTTAGATATATTTCTTTATAGCTTTTATAAATTTTTCTTTTTACTATATTTTTTTTATTTAATAAAGTACTACTTATTTTACTATAGTCCTTTATATACTACTATTTAGTCTACTTTATATATATATTTTTTTTTCCTTAATTTAAATAAGCTTTATTAGTACTCCTTTAAACTTCTTTAGCTAAAATAGTAAAAATATATTATAAATATAGTACTTTATTTTTATATCTAGCTTATAGGCTTTTTTACTAGTAACTACTTATATTACTATAAAGGGTTTAAAATACTTATTTACTAGCTTCTTTAATAGTTATCTTTACTTAATAAATTTAGCTAATAATAAGACTTTTTTTTTTACCTTAAACTTAATATTTATCCTTTTTTAGTTATACTACTTTTTATAGGTCTAGCTTATAGACTTTAGTATACTAATAATAGTAGCCTTCTAGCTCTTTAGCTTTTTAACTTTTTTATAAGCTATAAGGACTTTTACTAGTTTTTATCTTATTAGTCTTATATTATAGGGGTTTTATAAGGTGTAACCTATAAGGGCTTTTACTAGTAATACCTTAGTTACTTTATACTATACTTTATTATAAATAAATTCTACTATTAGAAGCTATTTAACTTAATTATTTTACTTTATATTATAAAAGGCTTATAAGAAGTATTTTATATTCTAATTTTACTACTTTATTTATTTATTTATTTAAAGGTAGTAAGTAGTACTAAGTTTTTACTTAATAGCTAGCTAGTAGTATACTACTACTTAGAAATAGCTAGTAAATAAGGACCTTTTATCTAATATTATTACTATAAGGATACTAAATCTTAAAAACACTTTATTTACTAAGAGGGTTACTAGCTAGTCTACTATAATAGTCTTTTAAATAAGTAAGTAGATAGCGTACTTTATAAGCTTATTTACTACTACTAAAATACTATTATACGCCTTACTATTAAAGCCTTTTAACTTTAGTAGCTTTATAATAAAGTCTATAGTTATATATTCTTATAGCTAGCTAGGTACTAGTAGGGGTACTAGCTTCTTATATAGTAAGTAGTACCTTAGTTTAGTTTACTAGTATATTATATAAATCCTTATATACTCCTTAACGTTTTTCCTTATTAACTTCTAGAAATATATTTATTTAATATATTTAAGTGTATAGTTTACTTCTAAGTAACCTCTAGCTAGCTTATTATAAAATACTACTAGTAACTTTATTCTTACTATATACCTATTAGAAATAAATAGTCTCTTATTATACTATAGTGCTTTATTCTCTCCCTTTATTTATTAACTACTTAGTTATTACTACCTTTTTAATTAGGCCTACTTATCTACTAGTTATACTATAATAATCTTATTTTTTAAGTTAGTAGTAAGCTATCCTTAGTTTAGTAACCTAAGACCTAGTAACTTACTATATCTAAATATTATAACCTATTTCCTAAATTTACTAAGGAAATTTACTAAGAACACACTATATACTTCTCTCTCTTTCTCCTTAGTAGGCTAGTAGTCTAGCTATTATAAAAGCCTATTTACTATATTATTCTTCTTAGGCTAATACTTAATCTTAAAGTTAAATAATAATAGATCTTATAGTAGCTAGGCCTAGTAGATATTAAGTTAGGGCTTAGTAGCTAGGTAGTAGTACCTTAAATAGTCTATTAAAAACACTATCTAATATTATATATATAGTAAGTAGTATCTTTAGTAAATTACTACCTTATAGATTATAAGTAGCTTTACCTTTAGTGCCTTATAATAAAGTTTTACTTCTTATAGCTTTTATAATATAAAGGCTACTAGGTACTACGCTCCCTTATAAAGCTAGTATATTACTATACTAATTATAAAGTTAGATATATTTATTTTAACTTATATAAGTAACTTAAGGTTAAAATACTAAAGGATTAAGGCCTAAGTAAATAAGGCATAAAGCTTATAGAAAGCCTCTTCTACCTTCTATATTATTACTTACTCCCTTACTACTTTAGATATTAGCCTGTCTATTAAAGGTATATATACTTTAAAGTAGTTTTTAATAAATTACTAGTAAAATCTTATAAACCTTAAGAAAACCTAGATCTCCTTAATACTAGTAGAGAGTAGCTACTTTACTATTACTTATACTTACTTATACTTACTTATACTTTATAGTAATCCTTTTATTAGATACTATAAAACCTAAGAACCTAATAGACTAGGTATAGAAAATATACTTCTTAAGGTTTATATATAGCCTTATAGTATCTAACTAGCTTAGTACTTACTTAACTACTTTTATATAACTTTTTTTATTTTTTATAAAGATTAAGATATTATTTAAGTAAATAATATATATAATATCTACTAGCCTAGTAAAAGTATTATTAATATACACCTAGAATATTACTAGTATATTAACTAGCCTAAATAGTATAATATAATATTTAAAGTGTTTATAATAAGTATAAAAGGCTGTTTTTTATTTATTACCTACCTTAATTCTTACTTAGTAATATATATCCTTTAGGTCTAGCTTTATATACTACTTTACTTCT